GCGAGTTCACGGTTGCAGTCTGAGCATGAGCAGATCAAGGTCATTGCAGAACAAATTGTGAAATACACGGAGACGAAGTACTGGATACGTGCTCATAAAAGTTATGTAATCGTTATTCATTCTTGCACATTCAGTTTACCCCATGATACACAGGTGGAAGTATTCTTTCAAAAGGGGAAAACAAAGGCTATATCATATATCACCTCCGTCGCTGTAGGAGTGATTATTTCACAATGTACAAAGTGGGACCTCTTCATGTTTTGAAGATCTGTGGATATTCGGGGTCATTGCAGTAATGTGCTAACCGTGGACTGGTCTATTCTCCTGTGTGTGAATCCGGTGTGAATGTCGCAAACAAAAATCAACCTTTGCATCAATCAATCAATCAATCAATCAATCAATCGCGATCCAATTCGAACTAAATGTTATGTGTGAACGACCCTAATGCAGCTGGCGAGTTATAACTAGCTTTGCCAAGGTGATGTAAAGAGCAAGTTATATTAATTTGTTTATATGTTTGGTTTTTGTTGTTAATTATAATTTATATCTGTACACGTCTAAACGCCAATGTTTATTTTGTATTTGAATTATTTTACGTTCGTCTTCACTCTCTCAGAAAGGAAGGCCAAAGGAAAAGTATAGTTTAGCACTGCACAGTATTAATAATCGCACCCAGTTCACGGTCGACACCTAAATTATTGCCCACATCATCGATTGAACGGAAGCTGTGAAACTCACTGAATCAATATTTGAGCCAGAGAAAAAGAAACAGCGCCATCTATAATCATAATTGACGAATAACTCCAAAAACAGTCATAGCCAGGCGGAAATAATTTTTTTCCCAGATTTGACAGCCTTAAAGTTGAAGGGTGCACAAACGAAAAAGAAAGGGGGTGCAATAAATGCCAACAAAAAGAGAGGAAGAAAAAGGGGAGAAATTAAATTAAAGTCATGATCCATTTTAATAAAGGCGATCCACCCCTTGTGTCCATTAATTTGTGTGAAAGCAAAAAAATAAGATAAACAGAAAGGCGAACGTTTAATATGAATCGGATCAATGATAAGAAAGCTAAGAATGATTTAAATATGAAATCAATAAGTCTATGTGAATCTCAAATTGGCAGTTTGGCCAGTGAATAATGTGACGTAGTCGCGGATAACTCTCCCGGTTGTAGTGTACACAAATGTCATTAAGTTATTTTTTGTCTCCTAAGTGCCTTCTCCCTTGGGGAACTTCACAAAATTAGTTTGGTAAGCATTTTTATATAAGTCATTTAAAGTCATTTAAAGAGAAAAGATCCTCCTGAGTAATAGATTTTTGAAAAATGGACATTTTAGTCAAAATAATGAGAAAGTTGTCCTCCACTACATCACAGATTCATTACCCGTTCAGCCACTTGGAAGAGCCCATTCTTATAACTTTCATAAGTTCACAGCTTTCACTAGTCTACTTTTTTCATTTTCTGCTTTCATCTACAGTAGTTTTCTATCAAGATTATATTTGCTTTTAAAGATTATGCGCCCCTCTTACGCAGGGTAAATTGGATAAAGGTTTTGAGAGTTTAAGCCGCGAATAGTTTCTTAAGCTTCTTCGCATGTGCTCCACATGCAGGATCTCATAATTTTACCCGCCAATATCAATTATATATTTTAAATAATATTTCAAAGGGTCCTAACATTTTCATACCTGTTGCCTTGCTCCTTATTGCGCCTCAACAAACAGCAGTGTAAAAAAAAAGATGGCATTAAGGAAGGTTCTGTTTTTGAAAAAATCATCACTGTCTGTTACCTTGCTAAATTCTTAATTTGAATATATTCCTCCAGATAATTCGTTGATTCTAGACCACAGATGAAGAAGAATTGAATTATTAACCTACATCTTTGGTGCGGTCATACACATAGGGCTACAAGAGCCGGGGGGAGGGGGCTCCCCGAAGATTTTTAGAGTCCTAATTTGTCCACGAATTTACCTTTATTGATCAAGTGAGTCGTTTTGGAAGAAAGTTTAATCATCGTTAACAATAACAGCCGGATAAGTACCCGTGGACTATTACTCACATAGGCAACTGTCCCCAGACCTCTGAAAACTACCCGGAGAGCCAATCCCGATCAAAAACTATCACCTAATTCAATTCCACCCTAGTCCAGATTCTTTCCCTTTTTATATTTATGTTTTATTCTTTAGTTATCTTTGTCCTCCTCGGATAATTATCCGGGTCCCGAGGATATTGTCCTTGTATATTGGTGGTTACTAAAGATAGTTCTATTTTTACGATGGGTGGAGTGGACGGTGGACAGTGATATTATCCTGAAAATGCCCACTGGTATATAGATGGAATCAGCGTGCTGATAAAATAATAATGGACGTTTCCGAAAATTCCAACCAATAATTATTTTGATCACTTTCCTATAAATTACGTGAAACAAAATTCTGATCCTACTGAGTTTCGTCCATTAAATCGCCCGTCCCTTTTCGCATCTCGGTCTCATTAATTCGTATTGGTATTGTACTTGTAAACCAGAAAGCAACTGATACTATATTCATGATGTTGTAAATAGTAATTCATCTACTACACATAGCTGTGACGCAGAGCTGATTTCACATTGCAAAATTATGTTATAACACTCAAGATATAAACACAAATGCATTACCTTACATTTCAGTTGTGTATTCCAATACTAGTATACATGTCTCCAGTTCATGTCGGATAAGGAATGAAGAAAGTAATATATAGTTATATATCAACAAGTCGCAAAGCAAAGTATCCTTGTCGTATAACATGTTATATACGTGGCGGCGTGGCGCTGTAGTTTTTTACACTCGTGAAATTATAGACTTTGGTCCTTGCACGCACGAAGCCAAAATAGACAAAGGAAAGGTTGTGACAATACAGTTCAATATCAACGCAAATATACAAGGAAACATTACATTCACGACTATATCATCACCGTCCATTGGACTCGTGGTGCAATCCTTGAAATTCACTTTTTCGGGGGGGGGGGGGGGACAGATGGACTCCGTTTTTAGTGGAAATCCGCTCTCAATAATAGGGTTTTCCGATTACTACTTGGGAGAGGTTTCAAATCCAAAGAATCGGTCCCAAATATGACTATTCAAAACGTCGATTTCTGCTCATCTGCATTAAGAGAATTATCATCCCTATAAATCACTCATGTTTATGTCGTGTTTTGTTGAAATTTTGAATTAAATTCCATTACCTATAGGCATGCACTAAAGGGTGCACCCTGGAGCAATTGACAAAGGGGCACCGTGCTCTGTGATGTTTTTCAAGTACCCCTAAAATTGTCTTTCTCTTTAATGATTAGTGTCCTTTTCATCTGTTGTTATAGTACTTATGCCTACCTATTGTGCCCTAAATCTCCAAGGAATTGGAGCAGCTGTTTAGGGTAGGAGAGTCCGAAAGCCCCCCCCCCAAAAAAAAAAAACAAAAAACATCGAGAGTGCACCTTTTTCAAATCATAGTCTTGTTCCTTTGAAACGCTACCAAGTGCACCTACCAGAAAATAAATACTTTTCATGAATTTGTCCATTTAAAGTACCGAATCGTGTCAAATAAAAATGGAGACATGTGATGGGGGATGTTTTCTGATATAACTGAAGAGGTCCATCTGGTTGGGGATGTAACTAGAACATTATTCCCCCTCCCCCCACATAATCAGTGAAAAACTTCTTATTCATTTTGATAAGCTTTCACTTGCTGTGCTGCAAGCTTCTTCAACACTCTGTCGTAGCTGGCGCTGCGACAGAAAGTGACAAAGATTAACACCAATAATACTCACATACTAACATAGACTGTGATAATTAAAAGGACAATATACTTTTTCTTCAACGTAAACGTTCCCATTCTACTATCTCGTTGAACTGCATCAATGTTTTTACCTTCTCGGCTGTGATTTTCCCTCATTGAAAAGTAAAGGCTTTGTTATTGAATTTGAAAGTCTTTCCAATTAAATCTTTGTTACATTTACAACTCCAACTGGTACGTCACATTTACAAGTAAATGGCTACGCCCATGTCATGCTAAAAGGCATAACATCATGCCAATAAATCTTCATCTCGTATACACGTTGTACATGTTAGATTTAATGATCATCAAAAGGCAGGAATTCATTTCATTTTACAGAATATCTATATATTCTTTGGGGGTAAGTTCCCCTTTAAAAAAAGGCGCCATCTACGACATCGGTCTGAAGAAGCCTGCTACACAGCAAGATAAGTTATTTCCCACTGGCACTGATTGTAGAGAAAACATTAATTTTCTTTGTATTAACTATTAACAAGTGCTCCTTTTCCAACAAAAGAAAACAAGATTTGGTTATTAATTTTTAAAAAAAATGGTTTTAATGCTCCCTCCATCTTTTAATAACGCTCCGCCGCTTCAGCCTAAGTTTTGAATTCTAAATTAGTTATGAAATATTTATAAATTGCCTCTAGTTATTTTATTTTCTTAATGATGAAATCCGCTCTCACACACTCATAATATGCTTTATATTTCAGCCATGCAATGGCAACCCCCAAACATCAAGAGAGATGCAATTCATCTTGTAACAGTGACAGAAGCAACAATGAAGGGAAATGGAAGGTAAGAAAGGAGGGGTGTCAAAAGTCGAAGGATAACATTGGGGAGATGGTGAAATATATTGGTGAAAAAAATCATACCAGCTTCCAGAATTAGGAATAGCCTTTAGTCCTTCGAGACTCACTTTTGGCCAGCCGTCGAGGGTTGGAAGTGGGGTGGGGGGGGGGGGGGGAAGAAGCAATCTTTTATTCGAGAATATTTGGGATTCCATGTAGAGTTATAGGGTTAGGGACTCGTTGAGTTATGGGTGGGTTCCCCGGAAAAATCCGGGGGAATCCTCCCACTTTATTAACAAATATGAGGTGTGTGTCTCTTATTGCCATGAAAAGGCTTTCGTTCAGTGGAAGAAACAAAGCTTGTCTAATATTTATTAATTCTATCATATTCGACAGGTGTCCGTGAGAGGTCCACCCCCGAGTTTCCAGGTTGAGTTCACGCTCAATCCACTCAATCAATTCTCGGATCAACGAGGAATAAAGATAGAAATTATGTTGGATGTCAAGGTAAGATGACTAGAGAAAAGGGTATTCAAATGAGTGTAAACACTAGAAAATGATTTCATGCAATAATACTAGTCTAAAAATTTCCTGGAAATGACAGATAAATGTTATCAAAAATGACTTGCTTGCTGAGCCAACATAATGTTTACATTTAAAACAGCAAAAGGAACGAATTATACAAGAGGCAGACATTTAAAGTTGATATTGTAGTACTGTCAATATAGTGTCATATCCAATTGTCACCATGTTAAATATGAACTTTGCCATAATCATTTTAGGAATCATCTATCCATAGTCATGAATAATTGTTATTGAATCAATAAATATTATTTTGTGATTTTTTTTTACCGTGACAGACAACTGTTTTAGTCATTAGATTATTTGAGAGATCACGTGCCCAGCCCTAAATAATAATGGAAGCTTTGAAATATTCTAATGATGCATCGACCTCGATGATAATGTCATGTCGTTATGATTTCATATGGGATCTTGTCTTGAAATATTCGCACAAAATGTTACCGATAAGCTTTGACCCTCATTTAACTCATTGACAAAAAGGTTGTCAGTCTGAACGTAGGTGGCGGGTTTAGCCCCCTGAGCCCCCAAACAAACTCCAAAGTCGGGTCGATGTTACCCCGTGAAGGCCAAGATGTGACCATTTCTTAATCCCAGCTCATGACTTTGCAGAGTTAGTGCAGTAATGTTGTATGACATGCACCAACTGGGTTACTAAATGAACTCATTTAATTTTATACCACTATACGTATTAAAATGTAATCATTTTCTCTTTCATTTTTGCAGCAAGGAGATAAATCAGAGATGCTGCCAGTGAGCGTCCAGCCCACCGACGAAGATGGAAACAGCGGTGCGGAACAAGACACTGCTCCCGAAACTGGGTCGGACCATGGACCTGATGAAGCAATGACGGAGATTGTAAGCAGAGCTTCGTTAACCTATGTTTTAATGATCCGTTCACGTGAAAAACAAATATAAATCAGTCCAGGAGTTAGCTAATCATAATTATTCATGAATGGTGGTGGGTGGTTATTGATAATTATGTTCAGGGATGCTCAAAGCTAGACTTTGAACTACACAAGTTTCAGGGTAAGATTAATTACCCTATCTACCAACACAACAATACTTGATAGCGATTCAATTTATCAAAAGAGGAAAAAAATTAAAACGAAATGGTTTATAATGATGTTTTTCTTTCATTCACCCCATTTCCTCTTATCCATTTTTCTAGGGATCACTGCGATCTGATGAAGGCTGTGATTAGAGAGAACCTTGTGCAACCTGTACATGTGCAGTGACCGTCAGACCTCCGTCTTCCTCTTTCTTCGCACCCGGCATGCCAGAGGAGTGAAGTGCTGTAGTTTAATAATCCATGATTTCTTAGACGGGTAGGGGGGGGGGGGGTATGACTGTGAATTTAATTAGGGTTTTCACAGATATATCAATCAGATAAAATTATTTACGTATCGGACCGACCTTTAACATCACCATCTGAAAAGCGTGACACAGTTTCGAACAAGAGTCCGATCAGGGTAAGAGCAAATATCTGGCCGAAAATCGGAAAATTATGCCGACCGATATTTGGTTCAGTGGGGGGGGGGGGGGGGGGGGGGGGGGGGGGGGGGGGGGGGGGGGGGGGGGGGGGGGGGGGGGGGGGGGGGGAAAGGTAAGGTCATTTTGGTCATTTCATTCCCCCCCCCCCCCCCTGCTCTGCGTACGCGACTGTATTGTGTATGATCGAATCTCATTGAGTGCATAATTTCTTCCCCGAAAGTCCGGAAATCAATGCTAAGAGGGAAGAAAGCGTATTTACAAAGTTACAACCTCAATACTAGTCCAGATCTGGCCGATTTGATTAAAGATAATAAATCCCCACTTCAGAGTCCGTGATCTACCACTTCTTGCTGCAAACCGATGATGACGGCTCGTGATCCTCGACTTTTTACAACGCCATCTTCGGCGGCTTGATTCAATTTAGGGAATATTATAGAGATAAAACATAAGAACCAGTCAGATTCTGGACTAGGCATTATTGCCCAAATTATGAGGTGAAGATGATTGTCTGAATATTTCAATTAGTTTAGCCTTTCAAATTTGTACCATTATGATAGCATATAGCCTTTTACAAAATTTATATTCTTTACGACGTGTAGAAATTGGATCAATAAATTATTAAGAGGGTACATTTCCGAAGAAAAAAAGATTAACATCAAAGGAATTACTATAGGATTGGTACGCGTAGGAAACCAAATCAAAAATGGCTTTAACAACTAAATTACTCATACCCCTACCAAGTTTTGTAATTTTTGGAAGTAAGTGAACAATATATTTGTCCCCTTTATGTTTCTAGATAATGGGACATTATGAAAGCTTACATCTAACAGTATTCATCAATGGCTCCAATTCAACAGTCCATTGGTTTATTCTTGAGTAATTTTATTGTTACGAAAAATACAAATATATCAAATTTACTAGGGGTATGAATAATTTAGTTGTTATCTGTATGTCCAACGCTAAAGCCCACTTAAGCCGACTTGCCATAATTTTATTGTTTCTGTTATATTGTTTTGTGTACCTGCTAAAGCGCACTTCGTATTTCGTATTACACTGGTTCATGGACCTGGGTTTGAAAATTTACTTCTTTGTCAATGTTCTTTCCACAATTAGTTGTAGTAGATGTATAGATGACACATATAAAACAAGTTGTCGGTCATTGAGTTTAGATTCCGTGTAATTTTCATGTGTATACAGTATTCTAATTAAAGTAGTGGCTACGATGACATTATGAAAAAAAATAGGGAAGAGAGAGATGGAGAGTGAGAGGTAAGGGGTAGGGGGAATAAGGGGAAGTGAGGGAGAGAGTGAAAAAGGGAAGGAGGGAAAAGGGAGAGAGAGAGAGAGAGAGAGAGGAGAGAGAGTGGGGGGGAGGGGGAGAGGAGAGAGAGAGAGAGAGGGAGAGATGGCGGGTGGGAGCGTGAAAGAAAATAAGGGGGAGATGGTTACAGAAAGATGGAGGGAAAAGTCATGGAAAGGAGATTAAAAATGTTCTCCCTATCCACTTCTCTCTCTGTTTCTCTTCTCTCACCCCTCTCGCTTTATCTCTCTCTCTCATCTCTCTCTTTCTCTCTTCTCTCTCTAACGGCCTCTCATAGCCTCAGTGGCGGATCCAGGGGGCCCGGGGGGCCGCCCCCCCCCTTGAGAAAAAAAATCATGTAAAATCACGCGATTTTAACCTTTTTGGGGGGTTGGCCCCCCCCCCCCCTGGCGCTCACGGGGGGGGGGGGGGTGCTCACTACCTACCCCCCCCCCACTGAGCGAATTTTCGGCTGGTTGAGTTGTTGCGATTTTTTGGGGGACTCCCAAAAAAAAAAAAAAAAAAAAGTGTCGCGCTTCGCTTACCCCCCCCCCCCCCCCCCCCCCCCCCACTGAGCGACTTTTCGGCCGGCGCGATTTTCAAATTTTCGGGAGCAAAAAAAAAAAAAAGTTGGGCCCCCTCCCCTAAGAAATCCTGGATCCGCGCCTGCATAGCCTACAGCTACAATCAAAGCGGGAACTTGTTAAGCCCTGATCGAAGATTGTGGATATCATGACAAGGCTACGACTAATACAAAGCTAGGTTAATTCGGATTTTTCTACTACGATACTTTCTATTTCAACCAACATTGTTCTTTGTTTACACCACTCTTGTTTTAAAGAATTTTTTGGCAACGTAACCAGGCGCGGGGGGGGGGGGGAGGCCCTCCCCCTGGCAAAAAACAGGTAGAAAATCATAAATGTTCCTTTATTTTAAACAAAGAGGAAAATGCCCCCCCCCCCCGGCACACAAAAAAAGAAAAAAAGTAAAACCTTTTGTAATAGTTTTTTTTTTTGCTCAAGAGGGGGGGGGGGGGGGGGGGGGGGGGGGGGGGGGGGGAGGGGTTGATGTTGAGAAAAAAAATAAGGTCGGCGCGACTTTTTTAGTGTTCACTTCCCCCTCCCACCCCCGCCCCAAATGAGCGAAGAATTGGTCGGCGCGATTTTCAAATTTTGGGGGGCAAAATTTAAAAAAAATTATTTAGTAGGTAAGTAGGGCCCAGGCGCGGATCCACGGGGGGGGGGGGGGGGGGGGGGGGGGTGAGACGGGCCCGGGTCCCCCCTGGCTATTATATATATATATATTTAGTTTAGTAAGTGATCACACAACCCGCTCCCCCCCCCCCCCCCTCCCACTGAGTGAAATATTGGTCGGCACGATTTTCGAATTTTCGGGGTCAAATACGAAATAAAAATTATGCTCATTTCCCCCCCCCCCTCCCCCTCCCCATTGATTGTGATAATATTTAATTTTTAAAATTCCATTTATTCATTTATTAATATTTTACCAGGGTATTTCATTCAACAAAACTTGTTTGTGGGGCCCTGAAAATAGATCCTATATCAAAACTACAAACAGGTAACGACATTAGTATGAATTCAACCGAAATGATAATGAAAAAGGAATATTTTGATTAGAAAACTGATGTTCAGGACGGTACGATGCACTAATGCAGACAATGAGCGCATGCGCAGAAGCCCTAACAACGGCGACGCCGTGTACATAAACGAAAAGAATCAAACGCGTAATATGACGGGCGCGTCATGTGCGCGCGCGCCGTATAAATATAAACGTTTATTGTATACGTACGTACGTACGTACGAGCAGTACGCACAGACGAATTTGGATTTTGACGATTGTAAATATCAGCAACATTTTAGATTTTGGTAAGTATGAATGAATGAATTGTAATTGTTAAAATTTAAGTAAGTAATGGTTGAATCAGTTCATGTAAATGTTATATCACGAAAGAAGTGTTAAAAGCAAAAAGTTCATGAAATATGCCGGCCCCTCCCCCTGGCAAAAAAACAGGTAGAAAATCATAAATGTTCCTTTATTTTAAACAAAGAGGAAAATGCCCCCCCCCGGCACACAAAAAAAGAAAAAAAGTAAAACCTTTTGTAATAGTTTTTTTTTTGCTCAAGAGGGGGGGGGGGGGGGGGGGGGGAGGGGTTGATGTTGAGAAAAAAAATAAGGTCGGCGCGACTTTTTTAGTGTTCACTTCCCCTCCCACCCCCGCCCCAAATGAGCGAAGAATTGGTCGGCGCGATTTTCAAATTTTGGGGGGCAAAATTAAAAAAAAAAAATTATTTAGTAGGTAAGTAGGGCCCAGGCGCGGATCCACGGGGGAGGGTGGGGGGGGGGGGGGGGGTGAGACGGGCCCGGGTCCCCCCTGGCTATTATATATATATATATTTAGTTTAGTAAGTGATCACACAACCCGCTCCCCCCCCCCTCCCACTGAGTGAAATATTGGTCGGCACGATTTTCGAATTTTCGGGGTCAAATACGAAATAAAAATTATGCTCATTTCCCCCCCCCCCCCCCCCCCTCCCCCTCCCCATTGATTGTGATAATATTTAATTTTTAAAATTCCATTTATTCATTTATTAATATTTTACCAGGGTATTTCATTCAACAAAACTTGTTTGTGGGGCCCTGAAAATAGATCCTATATCAAAACTACAAACAGGTAACGACATTAGTATGAATTCAACCGAAATGATAATGAAAAAGGAATATTTTGATTAGAAAACTGATGTTCAGGACGGTACGATGCACTAATGCAGACAATGAGCGCATGCGCAGAAGCCCTAACAACGGCGACGCCGTGTACATAAACGAAAAGAATCAAACGCGTAATATGACGGGCGCGTCATGTGCGCGCGCGCCGTATAAATATAAACGTTTATTGTATACGTACGTACGAGCAGTACGCACAGACGAATTTGGATTTTGACGATTGTAAATATCAGCAACATTTTAGATTTTGGTAAGTAGATCTATGAATGAATGAATTGTAATTGTTAAAATTTAAGTAAGTAATGGTTGAATCAGTTCATGTAAATGTTATATCACGAAAGAAGTGTTAAAAGCAAAAAGTTCATGAAATATGCCGGCGTTGGTAGATGTCGCGATCGCTCGTCCTTCACGCTGCGCCTGCAATCAACGGGATATTATCAGCATTATCGATGCCCGTAGTGTTGGCTGAGCCGTGACCTAGGTGCTAGGGCTAGGCCCTCGCTAATTTTGCGAATGCCCCTTCGGGCCGGGCAGTCTATCGGGCAGGCGCAGCTCAGGCTAGGCGATCGAGTCAGGATTTGTGTTGTATTTGCGCATTATTATAAGCGCATTTAGTTACCTTTTGTGACGTGTTTATTGTTTCATCACTAATCAGGACAAACAACAATAGCAATGCTAATAAACAACATTAGTTGCCAGTTTCCACACACAATTCGAGCACAATCATTTTGTGGGACAAAATTGAAAATAGATCTAGATCTAGACTAGATCTAGACTCTAGACTGTTGTCTTGACTTTGAACTTTAAAGAAAGCAACACACTTTCAAATAGCTGAAAATTCTAAACTAAGCTACTGAGTGTAGGCTCAGCTCAGCAGGCTGATATTAATTTGGATATCAAAGTCACATACAGAGCTAGAGGCAGATCTAACTTGTTCAAATGAACTTGTTTTAGATCTAGATGATAGATCTAGATCTAGGCCTATATGGACAAATTGAAAATTCTAGAAGTTGAAGTCCAGCCAGCAGGTTTCCAGGAAATATGAAAATGAAAGGTCGTCGTAGTGAAGGGAAGGGTGGATCAAGATCAAACCAGGGTTCTAATGATGGGGCAGATGATTCTGATGAATTCCAAGTGGAAGATGATTACTCTGTTGCTCAAACTCCAATCTACATGGATGATGCATCTATTCTCAGAATGGTAAAAAAGACAATAGATCTAGATCTAGAGTATGAACTATCTAGTTTAGGTGTTGAAAATACACAAAGAGTTTCCTTACAAATATACAAAACAATCTCTATAAATTAAAACTAGATCTACACTTAAAAATGAACTTGTCAGCCAAGTGCAATGACAGCATATTACATGTAGGTTAAGTCATTTTTATTAAATAGACTAGATCTATGCATCTATCCTGGGACTGGGAGTGGCAATTTTGTTTGATTTTAACATTAATAATTCATTTCAAGAATGATCTATAACTCCTGTCGATGTGAGACTAGACCTTTCAAGTTGGAGTTGTATGTTTCTCTTTAAGACCTAGCAGCACTTCAAAAGTATTTTCTCCTCTTTTTTCTGTAGGGAGTGCTTAAATCAAGTGAAACATCCCTGATGAATAAGCGAAGCAGCAAGGTCCGCGTCTTTGTACGCACCAGGCCGACGGACAAGTTTGCTCAGGATATGATTGAGCTCAATCCAGATGGCAAGGTAGGTCTTCAATCAATCTAGACCATAAACTGCTTAATTATCAGCCAACTGAGCAGAGTCATTGTTTAGTCTTTGTTTGAAAAGAATTCAACTTTGCTTTCTTAAAGTTAGACATACATGTAGACCTTGGTAAATCTAAATAATATTGTTTTTCAAAAACTTCTACTGTGATGATGTTCCTCTTATTCTTTTGTTCTTTTATTAAAAATAAACAGACAAAGAAACATAAAAACACACACACACATGACACACCCTCAAAAAAAAAAAAATCACCATCAACTAATTTACTTTTCGATAGTAGAAATATATTTAGTCTACTTTGCTTAATGTTCTTTCATTGATTTCAATCACTTTTGAACCATAAATTCCAATATAATCAGTGACAGCTAGGACAATTTACTCAAGGAAACTTGAGAATTATTCTTAGTATTTTGTTCAAAAGATTTCTTCAGTTTTCAATGTTATCATAGATTTACGATTCTAATTATATATATTTAAAAAAAAAGTTTTTCACAAAAGCTTACAATTTGAATAACTGATCAAATTTTGGGTCTTAAAGCTGAATTGGCTGAGTAGAATTAATGATATCTTGGTTAAGGGATGACCTGTAACTTATATTTTCAAACCCTGGATACAACAAACATGTATCCAGAACAATGTTATGTGTGATCTTCATGGTATGATTACAAATATTGAATTAAATGAGTGCATGATAAAATATCACTCTAATCTTTTTTTGCAACAGACTGTCAATATCCATGCCAAGAAAGATGTAAAGAGAGGCGTGGTCAACAATCAGATGTTGGACTGGTCATTTAAGATGGATGGAATTCTTCATAATGCTAGTCAAGATAAGGTGTATGAAGAAGTAGCTTCCCCTCTTGTCACACAGCTACTTGATGGCTATAATGGTAAGCTTTTAAATCATTGAATAATGCTTGAGATAACTTGGGATAGCACCCAAGTGAATAGAGGTTGAATGAACATGAAATAATTTTCAGGTAATGAAACATGCTTATTTTCAAAGACAAATTTTTTTTTGTCTATACCCATATCATTTTGGAGAGATTGAGATTGAGTGTGATCTGATATTAAAGATTTGAATTCAGCTAACTTTGATGCATTTTTTTCTTCTTCTAGGGACATTATTGTGTTATGGTCAGACTGGTGCGGGTAAGACATACACAATGACTGGAGCAACCGAGAACTACAAACAGAGAGGAGTCATCCCCAGGGCTATAGCACAGGTATGTATTGAGTAGTGATACATACTATGTTGTAGGAAGGGAACACAATACAAAGGTTAAGCTCTCTCATTTGCCATTGGAATCAAAAGAATAGGAACAAGTAGCATTATGTACTGTGAATATCTTCCACGTATGTGTTTGTCAATTTATCTTTGTTGTATACATGTAAGAATATTGCGGGGATACTTTCTTGGCAGGACGGGACTCAAAATAAAATATTAAAAAAGAGACAAAAATATAATTTCTGTATTTGGGACAGAGAGATAATTCATTAATATATTTGTCACACTTTTTTCCGTTTTCTCATGCTTCAGGTTTACAAGGAAATAGAGGATAGACCAGAGCAAGCGATCACTGTTCGTATCAGCTATTTAGAGATCTACAACGAGACCATGTTTGACCTCTTATCGACCCTGCCTTACAGCATTCAGGGACTTCCCCAGATGACGATCACAGAGGATGAGTTTGGTATCAATATCAAAGGCTTGAGTGTTCATCTAGCTCATAATGAAGAGGAGGCTCTTAATCTGCTCTTTGAGGTATACATGTATATTTGAAAGTAAAATACATTCTTCTGAATAATTAATCCTAATAGATATTTCATCCAGTACTGCTGCATTCTGCAGAAATTTGCACAACTAAGTCAAGTTTGCATTTTCGAAGAAATATATTCACCTATTAGTCCAGGTTTTATGCATATTGATAAATTCTGTTTGTTCAGTCGATGTTTGAATGTTTTCTTTGCGGCTACGTCTATTCGGTTTTCCTGAAAAAAAGAGAGAGAGAGAAAAATAAGAAAAATCTTATTGGTAGCAGCATTTTGCTTGGAGATAGTAGTCAGTACCTTTAAGATGGTTTTTATATCCAGGCCCCTATTGGCATTAAAGTGTCATGATTGAAGCCTAAATGTTCATTTTCTAAGATGACTTTCCTTGTTTCTACAGAGCCTTTGCATACAGTACATGTAAACATAAATGTTTATCAACAAGTAACATGTACCAATCAATTTCAAAATTTATATATTTTGTGAAGCAATGAAATATATGTTACCCATCTGTTAAATCCATTTTATTTCTTAGGGTGAGACCAACCGTGCCATCGCCTCTCATGCTCTGAACAGCGTCTCTTCCAGATCTCACTGTATCTTCACCATCCATGTGGAATCAAGATCCAGAACTGAGTCCAATGCTAAATACATCCGAAGCAAGTTCAACCTGGTTGATCTCGCTGGCTCAGAGCGGCTTAGCAAGACAGGGGTAAGAGCTAGGAATCAATCTTTAAACTTCTGATGTACTTACTCCAAAGATACAGGAGCTAAAGATATGAAGCTCTTCTTTACTACATGTAGATGAGAGGTGCTTAGGGTCATTTGCTCAAGGGCTCAGTCTCAGTGTATTTACTTACATTAGAGTTCTTGCTCATTTACCAGATTATTTCATGAATTATTGATGACATTTTACTTCAGTTTGGTAATTTTGCAGAACGTTATATGACAAAGTTATCTTGAGAAATTATTATTGTCATGTGTGACTAAAGCTTATCAAAAGTATGTATAAATGGACAGTTGCAGTGATACATACATGTATACATATATTGCGAATTTAAACATTATTTGTAGAGTAGAGGTATAGGTGTACTAGATACAGTGCAACTTTGCCATTATCTTTGTGATTGTTTTTGTTTCAGTCTGAAGGTAAGACTCAGCAAGAGGCTGTCTACATCAACAAATCCTTGACATTCCTAGAGCAGACGACCATTGCATTGGCTGATCGGAGACGAGAGCATATACCGTACAGGCAGACCAAGCTGACACACTGTCTCAAAGATTCATTGGGTAGGTTATAATTAACATGTTCAGAAAGCTTTAACTGGCACTACTCAAAGTCTCCTTTTACTACGATGGATTCTTGCGACATGGTGCCATGTATTTGAAATCTAAATGCTTCAGATTGGAACAAAAAGATTAGAAGTGAAGAAATTAATTTAAAGTTTTGCTCATTTTCATTGAAAATACTTAATTTAAAGCCTATCTGCACTAGTTTGGCCAGGAGGGATTAGACCTCCCTGCATGGTCACTGACAGGTGGTTGTCTTATCAAATCAGCTCTTCATTATCATAGGAAAAAGGGGACCATGGGGGACTAACGGGTACTGCTTAGGCATTGTTTGCTATATAGAGGGCGTAAGTAGCTACAAGTAGTGCAGTCCCGCTTTGAGAACTCACACTCTCTACTGCAACAAACATAAAGAATCTATTTTGACATGAGTAAAATTCTGATTGTACTGAGACAAACAATTTCTTCAGGTCTGATGAAAAATGTAACATATGTTTCTCTTGACTGTACTTCTATGCCACAGGTGGGAATTGTAACACCATCATGATAGCCAACGTGTGGGGAGAAGCCAAGCAGATAGAGGAGACCATCTCAACCATGCGCTTCGCTACAAGAATGATGTGTGTCGCTGTGAATCCCGCTGTCAACGAGTTCTTTGATCCGGCATTGCTGGTCAAGAAACTAGAGAAAGAGATCAGGCATTTGAAGCATGAACTCACTATGCATGATACGCTGGTAAGTCTAACAATGCATTACTACAGGGAATGCAGGGTTCTTACTGCATGTCAGAGCAGGGAGAAATGTGTTGTAAATATGATACAAGATGTTATTGAAACTGGTATTTAACAGATCTTGGCAGTTTATATAGCCAGCGAGAAATGAATGCATCGATCAAAAACATTTGAAATGTAGTGTATGGTGTATACTTGTAAGTCTTTTTCTTCTTTTGAGTTTTATTAAAAATCTATTCTGAAATTCAAGATGAAAGCATTTTGGAGTATTTCAAACATGATGAATATTTTTAGATATGGTAAGAGGAAATTTTACTATTTTCTATTGCATCTTCTTTACTATTTTCTGCATTTGTTTAATAGCAAACTTCTGAAATTGATATATTTGTAGTATTGAGTTATTCTTCTGAATCATGCTAACTCTTCTACTAGCTACGCCTTTGTTAGGAAACTTTCCTCTTATTTCTCTTCTATTGTATTTTGATTCATCCTATTTTTACTTTCACATGCACCATTTGTATGAAGTTTTATAATTTTCTGAAGAGAAGAGGAATACCCTTAACCCTACGTTAACTGGGGGGGGGGGGGGGGTCAATTTGACCCCCCCCCCCTGTAGAAATTTCGCGAATACTCCGAAACTGCGGCAGATAATAAATTTTCCTTTCATGACTTTTTTCTTTTGAGTCTTACGCATCTTTTAAAACGATTTTTTCAATTTTTGTCTTCGCATGTCGGCCCGAAAATCGCTCATTTTTGTGATTTGTGTACAAAACATATGGAAATGTCATTTTTGTCTCGCCTGCGTAGCAAAAAAGCGAGACATAGGCGCCGCTTTTCCGGTGACGACGGCGGCGGCGGCGGCGGCGGCGGCGACGGCGGCGGCGGCGTCAACATCAAAAACTTAACCTAAGGTTAAGTTTTTGAATTTTCAATATAATTTTGAAAGTATAAGTTCTTAGTCAATGAAACCTGGACTATAGAGTTATCAAGTATCCCCAATCATGTGAGTAGAATTTCAGGTCACAAAGTCAAGGCCAAAGGTCATTTCAGGTCAACAGACTTGGACTATGTTGTGGCATCATCATCAAAAACTTAACCTAGGGCTAAGTTTTTGAATTTTTTATATAATTTTGAATGTTTAAGTTCTTAGTCAATGAAACTTGGACTATAGGGTTATCAAGTATCCCCAATTATGTTAGTAGCATTTCAGGTCACATAGTCAAGGTCAAAGGTCATTTCAGGTCAACAGACTTGGACTATGTTGTGGCATCATCATCAAAAACTTAACGAAAGGTTAATTTTTTGAATTTTTTATATAATTTTGAAAGTTTAAGTTCTTTGTCAATGAAACTTGGACTATAGGGTTATCAAGTATCCCTAATTAAGTGATCAGTATTTCAGGTCACTAAGTTAACGTCAAAGGTCATTTAGGTCAACACACTTAGAATTTGTTGTGGCATCAACATCAAGATTTTGAATTTTTAGCATATTTTCAAAATTGTTTGTTCAAATTCCATGTAACTTGTACACAAGGGTTATCAAGTATCACAAATCATATGACACAAATTCCAGGTCACAAGGTCAAAGGTCATTTTAGGTCAGTAGACTTGGATTATGTTTTCACAACTTAATATGAGAATTAATAAATCATTTTTTTATATTAATTTGTTCATATTTCATTCAAGTTATCGATCGTGGTACAATTAATATTAAATAATTCTTTTGATGATTCTTAGTCAATATTCACTTCAAAATGCTGATTATATTCAAAAGGATTTCATTTTGTGGGGCCTGCTAATGGGTCACCGTGCCTATAAATAATGTTCCAACCTCAATTTTTCATCATATCGAATTGCGTAATGCAGGCGAGACCGCCGAGAGCGTTTCCCTTGTTCCTAAAAAGAGATAAAACATTGGTTATTTAGTCTTGTTTAAAGTTTAGGTGTTTGTATTGGGGTCAAAATAGTTGAATTGTAGTTATAAATGAAATAAAACAACAAAAACAACAAAAACAATAAAATACATAAGTTAAAAAACAATGAAATATATAATAAACTATCAAAACAAGAAATAACATAAGGAATAATCTGGTTCTTCCAATTTTTTGTGTTGTATTATTATTCCAAATGGTCTAACAAATATATGTAGTGAAAAAGAATGCTTAAATAAGAATAATGTATGATTTATGGGCAAAAATGTGAATATTATGACCTTATTTGCATAAATTACCATAAATATGCAATTGAGTGAATTTTTCTAAAAATTGAAATTACCATAGTATTCTATACACTTCACTTGACATGTATGCAAATTTTCGCGGCGATCGGCAGTGAAACGGCCGAGATCTTGGGGGGGGGGGTCAAATTGACCCCCCCCCCCCCCCCCAGTAAAAACCTGGTCTGAAATAGCCCAGTTAAAATAGGGTTAAAGGGATTGGGCAACTTTGTCTCAGATTCTGAAAAAAAATTCTGGATTTAGCTCTTGCTGCGATGATAATTATAAACCTTTAGGTCAGTCAGGAACCCCATGACTTTTACAAGCCGATCATCTGTCTAACTATCAAGATATTTATGATTGGAAATCAAAATTTCATTTTTTTTTTTTTTTCCTAACTGTTTTCATAACACTACCATCTATTGGGGGAAATGAGTATGGTAAAACCAGTCACTCAAAGATTTTTTACTTTTTTGAAGTTCAATTTTTTTCAGGGCTTCATTATTACACCATATCACAGACACTGATTGCACGTAGGACCATGCATCTCAGATTTAACATTGTTAAACGATGCCTTTAACACATGATTTATTACAGGCCAACCGAAGCCAGGTGAGTTACGAGCCACTGTCAGACACTCAACTCTTAGAGGTCAATAACCAGGTACGACGTTACCTCGATGGCTCACTGGACGAGATCGATATCGTCAACATACGACAGATCCAGAGCATCTTTGGCACATTTAAAAGCATGGTTAGTCAGATGGACAGTGAGGTTGAAAGTCGTCTAAGGCAGAAGTATACCATCATCGATCGCATGGATCCTAATGCTGTAGCTGCTGCACAGAAGGTAAGCAGCCGTTGTAATGATTGTAGGAATAGCAACTTCAATGGCCTTCTAACGCTGAATAATATGTCTAATATCTGTCAAAGCCTTCAGGCCCATGCTTTGGTACTATTTGTTTCTCTAATAAAAATCGCAGTTCCTGTCTTAGTTTGACATGGTTGTGCTCAGAATTATAGTTTTAATTTCACGATGTGGTATTGTACATACATTTTTAGATATAAATGCTTAAAAGGATATATTACATGTATTTTGTATTTAAAAATAGAAAAGGTAGAGTAAAATCTCCAACATGCCGCCTCCATACCCCAAATTGAGCTAATGCCCTTCTGATTTAATTTTGTATTTGAACATGCAGGCTGGAGTAGTGTTTGATGAGGATGGTGGTGCTACGTATGTAGGAGAGGTTGATGGACAAGGCTTTGGTATAGGAGTTGCTCCAGCCTCATCTAAACCAGCACATTCATCTGTTGTGTCGGCGAGAAAGGGAAGAGGAAGGAAAGCTAAGGAAAGGGGAAGGTGAGAGTCTTTGTAATTACATTAATTTAGTGTTAATGCCTTAATATATGCTTTGATATTTATGTGTCTTGTTGATAAATTTCGTTGATGAGAAAATATAACCTTTTAGTCAATTCAAATGTGGCACCAGTACTTTTACCCACAATGTTATTGTCTGCAAAAGTGACTTATTACTAGAGTTTCCACAAAAAACATTCTTGTGAAACTTTGTATTTCTAATTTTTGACTTGAATACATTTTCCTAAAAGGATGGATATGCCCAATGTTGATGATTCTAGGTAAAATTATAGATGGCAGCTTAGATTTACAACATATGGTCAGCAATGATTAGAAGCAAGACTTGAAAAACTCAATTTTTTGTTTATCATGGATTTATTTATATATGCAGCCCTCAACCTAAAGGTGTATCAAGCCCTTCACCCACCATGGAACGTGCCTCACCTGTCAGGAATGGTAACGTTGGACCAGACACTAAAGAGTCTGCAGTCCGCACTGAGACGGCCTCGGTGGCAGGGTCACAGGGCCCAGCAGCAGAGGGCGGTGCACAGGGAAGAGCCACTCCGCCACTCAGGACGGTTGCGTTTGAGGAATTCAAACATGAGAAAGGCAAGGAGATCAACAAGATACTCGTGGAAAACAAAGGTGAGAAATTGCAGCTGTCAGAAGTTTAATTGAAATACTTATCGTTACGTTAATAGTCATATTGTTGGGATCCAGGTATTCTGTTTAACATTTCTTTAAAAATTATATAATGCAATTGAATTGTGAATGAATTACTTACAATATGCTAGAGAAATCCATGCAGAAAATACTGTAGAATAAGCCTGCAATGGACAGTTGAAGCCTAAAAATGTCTGTGTTGGGGATGAATAGTTTTCCACTTCAATTATCTAAATGTACCCCTGATGAAACAGCAATGACAAAACAATTTTCATTAACTCCAGAATATTTTGTGTCTTTCATTCAGACATCCTGAAGGCCAAGAGGAAAGATTGCAGAGACTTAGCCAAGTCAATCAACATGACCAAGCAAGAGATTGATGTAACACGGAATACTATTGAGAAACTAAGGCAAGAGAAGGCTGAACAAGGTGAGTTCATGCGGCTGGTATTTTCATGATGGATGGCTTTTCTCTATACAAGGTTTTATTTGATACGTTGAGTATGTGTTGTCAACTTGTGAATTTTAATGCATATTTAATGTCATAAATATGTTTTGATATGCCACGGAACGTATACTACAACATAAAAGGATTCAGACTGTACAAGGATTTGTAATCTAAATGACAAATTTATTGTATTTTGAATCATAAGATAATGTACCCGAACATATCAAAGTTCTCTACTCTCTAGTGAGTATTGGATATGAAAATTATAAACATATGTTTACCATTTGTTACCCACATTGTTGGAAATCTATCTGCACCTGATTCATACAAAATACTTGTCAAAGACAGGATACAATATAATATATGGTGACAACAGTTATGATCACAGAAGAACCATACATTTTATATACAATCAATGAGAGTTTTTATTACCAGGCATGGTGGCTCAGTGGTTAGATCGCCCACCTCATGAATGGGAGGTCGTGGGTTCGAACCCCGGCCGAGTCATATCAAAGACTTATAACAATGGGACCTTCTGCCCTCTAACTAGGTGCTCAGCATATTAGATTGGAGAAGGTAATAATAACAATTATTTTACTGTATTTCAACAATGACATTAAAAATTGTATAAATATTCCAGTTTTAAAAAGAAAGGACGGTGTCACAGCACTAAATTTTTTGAGACAGGAAAGTTTTTTCCCTCTCCTGAAAATTCATAATTTTTGAGATACAAGGTTTTGTCACCCTACCGACGATATTATGTTATACAGGGCCCGCTGGAAGAGCAGTTTTATAACTGAAGTGGCTACCCTTAGTAAATAACACATTAGTTATTATTATTATTATTATTATTATTCTTTTGTTTGTCAGGAGACTTTGTGAATGAGGAAGGTGAGATGGTGATTAGCGAGGAGGAGTTTCAGATGATCAGGAAACTAAAGGAACTCAAAGCATCCTACCGTGGTGATTACGATGCCCTACGGCAGATCAAATCAGAGATCCAGTACTGTCAGAAGCTTGTAGACCAGTGCAGACAGAGACTTGTTAATGGTAAGGACGTTGAACATAGTTTATGGCTTGCTGTCCAATGTTCTGCATGTATTAAATGTTGCTTCTTAGTTTTCATTCTACGTATATCCTTCTATCTTTTCTCTGCATGTAAGTACCGTGATTAAGTACTTTGATTGGGACAAACTCTTTGATTTCCATATATTTCTTTGCTTATTATGCATTTTCTACCAGAATTATATGTCTTATAGCCTTTAAAAGTTGAAGGTTTGTTTGAATTAGTAAATTTCTGTTATTACCAGAACTTAAGACTATGTGCTTTTGATCTTCCTCAGAATTTGACAACTGGTACAGTGAATGTTTCTTGACGACTGAAGAAGGCCAGAGTAGTGCAGTGGCAGGGGTTGGAGCAAGACCAGGAACTCAGTATGACATGGTGAGTATATGTAGTTCCTGAAGTACTATTTGTATATCTCATGCTACTGTGTCACATAGAAGTGGAACTACACTATCTATATGGAGAGTGCAACAAGATGAGAATTTCAAAACTATTGAAATTTGAAAAGCACTTTAAAACCATGCTGTAGGATAATTCTTAACCAGCTAATTTTGAGCTGAGCAAATAAGTTTTGTTTTCTTTTTTTCTTCAGCCTGAAGATGAAGGAGAGAAATTTGAAAGACTTCAATCAGAGCTTCTCATGGAGAATCCTGACTCGGCCTCCTTCTACAATGCTAAGATGAGAACCGATAGACGGGTAAGTAAACGCTCTTTCATTAATTTATAATTGAGAGGTTACAACTATGAATGTGGTAATTAGAAAGGATAAATATTTCTTCTGAAGTGCTAGGAAAAGGGCATATAAAGTGTTAAATGAAATTTCAAAAACATTCATAATTGGCATTTAGAATATGATATAGTAGAAATAGGTGATGATAATATTAGGATCATAGGAGGAGTAAGCAAGCTCTTATTAATATTCATACCGGTAATTGGATGCACTGAATATTCATCAAGTTTTCATGTTCTTTATTGTTACAGCAAATCTTGGAGAGTGCTGTGAATCAACCACAACCCCACGCATCATCGAACCGTCCAAGAGATGTAACCTCTCCAACGATCACCATCCGCAACAAGCCACCATCAATGATGATCCTTCAGAACTAGCCGCATCAACCTATCTGCCATGAACGTTATCAGTTCAACATATGCATGGGACTTGCAGTAGCTACGTGTCCATTCAGAGTTATCGATGCCTCATAGGTCGCATAAGCATTTTCTGATTGCTTTTATTTTCAATATCTATAAATGGTGACAATATAATAATTATGGAATTATTCTAATATTTGGAAGGTTCAAAGATGATGTTGATTATTCAAGGCGCATTGAAGACTAATAAACCACATTGCAACCAGTTCAAAACTTGATTTGATCGTAAACACTTCTAATCTTGCACATGAGACTAATTTGGAAGCTTAATAGGGTAAAATAAAGTCAAATTTCATTTATCTTTCATCTTTATATATGAAATTCATCTGTGATGGGCAATTGAGTTTTCTTTGTGGTTTATGAGAATGATGTTGCAATAGTTGAGGTTGTGAAATTTCCATTTCTTAGAAAGTCTCTCTGTTACGGTACATGTAGCAGATTTCTCACTGTATAGAAAAATGTGTGTGTGCAAAAATCTAGCTTTGCTCAGGATAGCTATCATGTGAACCCGGACGAGGCTACCCTGTTATTGACATGGAAATAATCAAACCCTATGAGGACCTGCTCAGATGTGTAGACTAAATCCAAAATATTTCAATTCAATTCATTCCAAAAGTTATTGGTCATGCACAACAAAAATCATTCTCTGAATGTTTTTATTAAAAGAACAAAATGTCAAATGTAAGAGATGTAGAGGTAGGATTATTTCCGAGATCTGCATCTGAGTTCCCATAAAAATTTGTTGCAACATTGGAGATACGTTCTTTCTGGAGTTGTATATAAATGTATATAATATACAAGTATATGTAAATAATTTAATGTATATTTGCTTGAAAAAATCAGAGCTTAAATATCTTGTCAATGTAAGTTTTCTTCATCTAAATTATTATGTTATCATTGGTTACTTTGTGCAGCCTTGCAGCAGAGAAAGCTGAGATGTATGGACATCTGTTCACATTGACTTTGAAGTTTTAGGATTTTTTCGTTTAGAAATAAGTGATCCATTATACATTCTTTTTACATGTTTATGAATTAAAGGATAATGATGTGAGATACTATATGGTAGGATTCATTTATCACTTGCATGCATGTAGCATATGTGTATCTTTAGTATTGTAATCATTGGAGCCATGCCAAGACTGGATATTTCAAAAATCCATATTGACCATCCTCGTTCCCTTGGTGTAGATTATTTCAGACAACTACAAAAATTAGTCAGTAAAATTGGTTAGTGAAATTGGTTAGTAAAATTAGTTAGTAAAATCAAGTCTATTGGCTGCACCAGTGGGGATTCAGTAGGCAGCATAAAAATCTCAATCTTAAAAAAAAATCATGACATGTTTAAATTTTGTAAGATGTTCAAGACATTTCTCATACATTTACATCTGATAAAAGTTATCTTTGATCCGAGATTCAACCTTGTACTAAGGGCAAGCCAACCCTGATATTAATAGTTTGCATTCATTCAAAGCAGAATATTAGAGCTGGAAGCAGTTTATCGATGAATATTGTAGAAACATTAAACAATTGTGGTAAAAGGGTCACTGTGAAAGTCGATCAATATGAATATTCAAATCTAATTTTGTTGAAATTGGTAATGTGATTGCTCGCAGAATGTCAAAGATTTGTTCTCTCTTTACAAAAATATATAGATAAGGGAAGAGTGATCTCTGGTAGTTTACAAAGATAGTTCCAGTACAGTCAGATCTGTCTTAGCAGTCACCTGTATATAGAGACCACCTGTATATAGCAGTCACATGTATTGTCTCTCTACGGAATGAAATATATGTTGAAGAACCTGTGTATAAAGGCCACCTGTCGATAGTAGCCACATTTTGTGTGTCCCTTGGCTAGCATAAATAGACAGGTTTGACTTTATAAGAACTTAGAAATTGGCAGTTTTGAGAAAATTTAGCAGACTAAACAAATGGGAGTATTTTGGTTTAGAAATTTATATTAGATCTTCACTGTTAAAAAATCTTACTTTTTCACTGATTGCATTGTTCTCAAATTTTGCATACATATACATTTGCTTCTCTCATTTCTGCTTCAAATTAAAGTAATCTGTTTTTAAATATTGAAATCCCTTTGAACTGCAAATGAACAAGCCATGAAGTTTCAATGTTAAGTTCTTTCCATGAATAGTGTGTTTACGGATCGCCGTATATGATGAAGAGAAGTCTTCATTTGTATTACTGTAAGCCCATTTCAGTGTGTGCATTGTTCCGTCCAGCATGCATTGTTTTTGTTTCTTGGTATACAGTGTCTCTTTTCAGCTCATGCACACATGTCTGGAAAAAGAATGTAAAAGATATTGAGAGGAAATTCAGAATATTTGCCTTTAATTTTGTTTTATATATTTTCATTTATACTACTCTCGTCAATCATGCGAGAATTTGCTTTTTATAGTTGTATCATATACATGTTATAATAAATGTGAAAATTGTCCATATTCAAACGACTTTAGGCTACCATTGTTTGTTCATTCATCTTGGTTGGTTAAAACTTGAATTGTTTTGAAATAGTAGTTTCTAGGCATTCTTTGCTCTCCAACATCACTGAATTACAGTTTAAGGCCATAGAATATTTTTCTGTCTGTACCTGCTACCTCTTTATCTCTTTATTCTTGTGACTTGCTGTTGCTCTTAATTTCTCCATTCATTCCTTTCCCATTCTTATTTAATATGACATTAACATGAATTGGGCCTTTAAAAAAAAAGATGTTGTATTGCCCTTTAGCCTAGGTGCCAAAACATAGGTCAGTTGGTCAGAAATCTGTTTTTAAATATTTTTGTTTTACTCTGTCCTAGTCTCTCCTGCTGTTTTCGACCTCTCTCTTTCTCTGCACCAGTCTATATATCCCCTTTTCCCTCATCATTTTCTATAAAATCTCCCTCCCCCTCTTTCTCCTCACATATCCATTGTAACTTCTCTCTTTTCTCATTCCTATAGATCAATTCCCTGTCTCTATCCCTCTCCCCTCCTCTCCTTCTCCCCTCTATTTTCCACCATCTCTTTCTCCTCCTCCTCTTCTTCCTCTTTCTGTCCCCACCTCCCTTCCCATTCCCCTTCTCTCACTCTCTCCCTTCCTGATCAATTTTTATTTGGAAAAAAAAACCCAGTTTAGACTTGAAGTTCATTAGCCTTTACAAAATGTACAACTTTATTTTTACTATAAGCATTCATTATCATCTTTCATCTAATAACATCTGCTTTATCACTTGGCTTGTTGACATCCTCTGTATCTATTGGAGTTCCTTCACCTGCGCAGGGTAGGGTCACTGTGACTTCTGATGCATGCTCCATGATCCAGGAATGCATCTTATCTTGTCCAAGCTCGCTGTAAAGCTCATTCTGTCTTCTCTCTGCCTTGTTCACCTCCGCATCCATTCTACAAAGACGGAGAACAAGATATAGGATTTAGAAATAATAACTAGTCATTCTGAATCACTATTTATATTCTTGTGCAATGTGCAGTATGTGCAGATTTACAACAACAAAACAACTAACTTGCTTAAAACCACAATAATTGAAATCACTATTTATGGAGCAATGTTTTGTAATATACTGTCTGTAAACAGATCCAACCTTGCTTATACTGGCTAGTAGGCATATATATCTTTGCCAATTGCTATAAAAAATGTTGAAAGTTAAGACTCTGAGACCCCATGAACTAATTCCCTGTGGACAACTACACCCTTAAACAATTTCTGCCCTCCCCCTTTAACTCCCCCATTCATTTAGACCTGTTAAAAAGAAAAATGAGATTTGAATGAGCCTCTGTCTGGTCATCGGCCTTTTGCTGTTCTCTTATAGCCACTCAACATGTATTTTTAATTTGCTTAACTCCTTTAAAAAAATATTAAAAAATAGATTCTATAATCTGATGCAGTTTGGAATATTTCAAACTTGTAAAAAAGTTGTATTAAACTATAGACATACCTTTTACTCTCACTAAGGGCTCTTTGCAGGAACGCATCAACCCTTTGATCCTCATGGGCTTCACCAACTCGCTGTCTCGCCTCCTACCAAGAGATCATAATATTTGTCAATGTCATCTCCAGAATCTAGATCTATTTTATTTATTCAAAACTCAAACTCAAAACTCATTTTACAATGTCTACGACTATATCAGGCAAAAAGCCTGGCCATATTTGTGGACAGAATTCTGTAGTTCTATTTTGCAATCTAATTAAAGGAAACCACTTTTTTAAAGATTTGGAAATTCTACAGATTATGCCTAAATTGGAAAAAAAAGCCTGGAAAGATATAGTTACCCACGGCCACCCTGGGCAGAATCTGTAGAATTACCAAGGATTTTTGTAAAATTCTACTATATGGGAGGATCAACTGCCCGCCCCGGCCACGGCCCCGCTCGAATACAATCAACTTTATTCAGCAATCTTCCAGGCTTGATATCCGCAAGGCCGGATGGTTTGGTCCACCGGGCAAACGGCGTGGTACCTATACCGGTACCACTATACACTACACTCGCATCACGAAGCAGTTAGATGTACATTAACCCATTGGCCTACTGGAACGGGGTGGTGCCTGTATTAAGCCTATGGGAATGAGAGAATTCAGTAGTCAACAGGTTAATGCTGGGCAACGGAGCTCCAGAGCCTGCATAGGAAAATAATTCAAACAGCTGGTTGGGTCACATTTTTTCGAAATGTAAAGAAGTAGGTCAAGGTCTAATAGTAGTAGCCTATAGTAGATCTAATTACACTTTTGACTTACATTACAATGTTTTTCAACTCCGGCCTCTGCTCTGGGCATCTGTTCAATTATCACTTAAAATTTTGATTTAAAGAAGTCATTGATTGGAAAAAGGGTGATTTTTCCTAACCCAATTCATCCCATGTTGATGTTGTATATGGTCGATTCAACATGATGGCGAAGAGAAAGTATGCATGCTCGGTATGAAGGGGTGACCAAAGTTCGCGGACATTTTAGAACATGTTACAAAATGTGATGTTCGATCTATGATTTCTCATATTCTACACAAATTTATTCATTTCAATCATTACCATATGGATGGCAAAGTTTTTTACTACAGATTGGTTCAACTAGAAAATTTATCGTCGAAGGATTTCGAAGATATCGCGATCTAAAAATTTGATGTCCGATCGTGCGTCCGCGCTGCATCTAAAAAAGTCATAAAAGTAACGAGACCTAACTTCACGCACGGGGGTTTACAGTTGATTTATCAAAAAATGCGATCCATCAAAAATAAGGTAATAACATGATTTGCAAGGCAAGATAACATACAATCAGTTGGTGCCACTTTTTACTTACAATTTTGAGGATTTCTGCTCTCAAAATGAAGATTTCCAGACCCTTATCGGTAAGTTGATAATTTTTCGGAACGGACGCAAATAACTGCAAAATTTGCCGATCTTTTGTCAATATTTTCACAATTTCGCACCCAATTCCAAAGAAAATTTTGTTTCTGGGTAATTATGTGATCCTTTTTCCATTAGTGATATCAGATTTTCGAAATCTAGACCTAGAGGTCTAGATCTAGTCTATACCAATTTTTTGAGAAAGCGAACTTTGGTCACACCACCATATATCATATGGATGCACAGAGCTAGACTAGAGGAGTCGAAGGCAAGACTTCCTTTTGCGACAGCCACTAAAAAAAAAAAAAATATTGTAAGTCAAAATTGTGATTACTGCTTCTTTACATTTCGAAAAAATGCGACCCAACCCGCTGTTCCTATGCAGGCTCTGAAGCTCCGACGCCTTCGGAGCGGCGCGGCGGCGGAGCTCGCTGGGCTGGGCTGAGCTGACCTGAGCTGAGCGGCCCGAGTCTGGCTGGGTTCGACTTAGGAAGAGATAATTATCACTCCACAGTCTCCACTCCTGAAGGCATCAACACACCATTTTTAGTTTCATTTTAATCCTTACCCGTTGCTCTTCATAATTTCGCGTTACAAAATCTGCTAGAGGAGACTGGCCATTTTCTTGTGGTAAATCTCGGTTTTCCATGGCGTCTTGGGTTGTTATTGGTGACTGCTCTCTGTAATTTTCCCTTTGTGTTTGGTGGACGCCATCTACGACAGGATTTTCAAGGCTTACTTGAAATTCGACGGTCTCGACTCTCACTATCAAAAGCTTTGTGGGGGGGGGGGGGGGGGTGTGTATATATATATATATATATATATATATACAGTGGCTGATTCAGGGGGCACAGGGGAAAGTGCCCCCGCCCCCACCCCGGTAAAAATAAGGGGGAAACTAGAAAAGGAGAGAGGAAAAGGGGAAAAAGAAAGAAAATTAAGGGAAGAGAGAAAGAAGAATTAATAAAGGAGGAAGGAGAGAAAAGGGGAGAGGCGGAAAAGGAAGAAAGTGGGAAAGACGGAGGAGAGAAAAGGGGGAAAAGGAAAACAAATGAGAAGGGAAAAGAAAGAAAGGGAGATAACGGTGTGTTTTTTTTACCGGGAAAGGGGCGGGGGACACACAATTTTGCAGTGTGCATAATATGGGGTCCCTCTTGCCAGGCTTGTAGCCCGTCCCCCCCCCCCAAAAAAAAAGCACAAGAAGAACAAAAAAGAGATGGAAAAAAAGGGGGTAAGAGAGAATTTTTGTGAGCGGGAGGGGGGGGGGCAACTGAATTCAGACTAGGATTAACAGTCGAGAACGGTTCAACGAATCGTCTTCTTTCTCTAATAATTTAATTTAATAATTTCTGGATCCACCACTGATATATATTTGTTAAAGCCCTTTGATTTATTTAATTTTTGGATTGATGAAATAATGCTCCTCATATGGGACGTATCCAAAGTAAGCCTAGACCGAAATCTAATGCACGATTGTCGGTCTCGTGAACGATTAGAATATTATGTCGAATCTCTCGGTCTCATGGTTCATGATGGTGCATGCTTCTTCTTCTTTCAGATACTGCGGCCGACTGCATGGGACACCCCTACGAAAGAAAGGTTTAACGGACAGGGTAGGATGCGATGTTGGTAACAGAAATTGAGGAGAGAGAGAGAGGATTGTGGGCTGTTATTTCAAACTCATGTTTGTCCAGGATTGTAAGGCCTAACAAAAAAAAAAGATGTTAATTGTATTGCCCTTTGCGACCGACCCAAAAATCTTGAAATCTACGGTCGGCTTTTTAATTTTTGTTTTTTTACCGTTTTCAAAAATATCAGCCTAAAGAGGAGGTATAAAAAAAAGGGTTAAAAAACCAAAAAAAATCTGACCGACCCACCCATGTTTTGGCACCTTTAATGCCTAATAGCAAAAAATTGCTGACGATTTGTACGGTGGCTTGGAGTAACCTTAATTGTAGGCCCGAGGTCCGTGCCCGGTCCGTGCCGGGGTCCCTGCTGCATAATATACATCAAGCTATTTTCTTCAATTAATCGAAAACAACATCATTTTATGTTTAGGCCTATTCGCGCCTATTTTGTATAATTATAGTTTTAGTTACATCCGGAAATAAGATCATTATCAAAGTGTGGCATGGTCCTTCTCGGAGCACTGATCAATATCCTCGATCCACACCCTTTCATTTTTTATTATCCTCTTAATTCCCCTCTTGAATTGGTCATTAATAACGCTTCTCCGTCCATCGACCGGTGCTATTTTCGCCCGGTCCAGAACTTAGCTGCATGAGCACCTTTTCCAGCTCTATACCCAGTGTACTCCCATCAAAATTGTGTGAGGCGCATCGGTAGAAAATTAATGCAAGAACACAACCAAGTCGGGGGGACTTGGTTGTGTTTCTATTGTTTTATTTTTTTGTAAGGCGGGGGGCCTTACAAAAAAATAAAACAATAGAAATATGAATTAAGGACAACAAAATCTCCTTTAACCGCTTTTGGTTGCAAACTTGTTTCCTTCGCAATTGATTCACAGATTTAATTTGTGATCCTCTTCTGCCTTTTCTTTCGACATAATTATACAGTTAACAAAAATATCTGTCTAAAGATGTGATCAAGGTATTTTGTTAAAGAGATTCGACACGACGCCCTCCGAAGATTTTGTTATAGCGCCATCTCGCACCACAGTACATTTAGGTAAAATAAGTAAGTACGTGTCATTTCCCTTTGCTCGAGTCGTCACAAGCTGTCCAAATCACACCGTTCATTATGGTAAGATAACCTAATTTACTATTGTTTTTGAATTGTTTTTCTATTTTTATATTTATGTCCGAAAACGTTAGATTTTCTGGATGACTGTTAGCCTGAAATGGAGAAATTATAGAGGGAAATAATTTAGATAAATGTGGGGCTTCTAAAAGCACAGATCAGCAGCTGTTTAAACTGAAGTCCCATCCGCTTTAACTGGCGTTTCCTATTGTTTGGTATTGGCTGGGCAAAAAAAAAAGTTGGATCAGTCCTCTAAAACGCAATTTTTGCTTGACCATTCTCTAAATTATAATCATGAGATTGATACCTTTGTCCTTAATTGCATGCCTTTGGTGCTTGAAAGACACAGTTATAAATACAAATAATGAATACAAGATTGTTCCAAATAAGAAAAGAACAGAAAAAAAACAAAAAAACACAGAGTCAAATCCGGGGAAATAATTGTCATTCGGTAAGTTTTCTCAGGAGCATGATTTAGAAATCCCATCAGTGATCTCCAGGTGCTTATGTTTGTTATTTACTCTGGGCTTTCTCTTGTCAATACAAATTTCCCTGATCAGGAAAAGAAAGAACAAACAAAGCAAAAAGATTTGGCGCTAGTGTAGTTCCGTTTGCAGTTTCATATCCATTCTTAGCAAAGAAAATATTGCCCAATTTTTTACTTATTTTAATAATAATCATATATCACATTTTCCACCTGAATTTGGATCACATCCAAAATCAGAAAGCCTCCGTTTAAGACTTCGATGTCGACGTCGTCGCTCAGTACCGTCTCTACGCTAGCTTTGCAACTCCAACTGAAGCTATCAGTCCAAAATTATGCAAACTTCTTGTATGGTTTATGGTATCGTGCATGCGCGTAATACCATAAACCATACAAGAAGTTTGCATAGAGGTGCAGAGCTATAGCGTAGAGACGGTACTGAGCGACGACACCCTACACGGAGGTTTCCCGATGTCGGATTTGATCCAAATTCAGGTGGAAAATGCGGCTAGGCCTATATGATTATGATTAAAATTAGTAAACAATTGGGCTAAAATTCCTTTGCTAAGAATGGATAGTCTAGTAAACTGCTAAAAAATGGATACGGAACTACACTAGCACCAAAGATTCTAGTCAATTATTCAATTGAATGTCTCAGATACATTTAAGTGATAGATATAGACCACAGCTCATGGAATAAAAGTCAAGGAACTGCAGTGACCAAATCGTCATGCTCTCTGTAAATATTTAGACTTTTTTTTTGCATTTGATAATTTATACAGACTGTCTCATCACCAAGCTCAACATCTGTAGGAGGAGGAGGACGTTCCCCGTCGTCAAAATCTGTGTCACCAAGGTCATCAAGTGGAGGGTCACAGGTCAGACAAAGGTCAGTACCTCATCATCATCATGGCTCATGCATGCGTGATTACCTTGCAGTCTTATCACATATTATCTTTGTCTCACTGGCATAGTTTCAATAATTGTGCCTGAAACTCGAATCTCTGGCTGCAGTTTGTTGAGTATTGAAGAGTTATACATATTTGATGGCAAAAAATATATTTGATTATGGGAAAAACACAACCTCCCATGTATTTAAATCTATATGTTACCAAATTGTTAAAGGTAAAGACCAGTATTGGAAACGTCCCAATTTCAAAAAATGAAATGCAAGCTCTTACTACCAATCATGTGAAAGAATATGTTTTTAATAATACATGATGATAAAAATGTTGACGGGAAACTGCCTACTAATTGATATATTCGGTAAATTGGTGTATCTCTCTTGTTGTATTTTGCAATGAATTGTGGGCATCTTATTTCAATGCAAAACGCAGCAAATAATTCATCTTCTTAAAGACAGTCATTACTACTGAGCCAGAAGGGATTAGACCACACAGCGAGGTCACTGACAGGTGGCTATCTCTTTAACTCGGCTCTCAACTAACATAAGAAAAAGAGGATCATGGGGACCAACAGGCACTGATTGGGGAAGTTTTCTATATACCATAATTAACGGTATATAAACCGCACCTTTTTGCCGCCGAAAAAATTCAAAGTCGGGGGTGCGGTTTATACACGGTACAATTTTTTTTTTTTTTTTTTTTTTTTTTAAGTTTCGATTTATGGCGCTATGCCTGGCAATGTCTCCTAGCTCATTAATCGGTGTGTTGACTCACCACTCGGAAAAACTAAAACAACACTCAAATTTGTCTGTCATCTTGGTTTGTAATTAATCTTTGTGATAGATCTTAGTTTATAATAATAATAATTCCTCCAATTTTTCTTCTATTACATGGTGTACCACAAGGTCCTATCCTAGGTCCTCTACTGTTTTTTAAATTTACATTAATGATCTTAGACATTCAGCTGCATCTCGCAGTTAAATGAAAGGCCTTCCCGCGTGGGTTTTTTTAACACGGACTTGGCAAAAAAAGTCAGCAAAAAAGGGCGAAAAAGAGGAGTGCGGTTAATACACGAGGGCGTTTATACAAGGTTAATTACGGTAGAGGGAGCAAGTAGCTACAAGTAGGACAGTTGGGCTTTAAACTAAGGAACCTCATAGAAACAGTGCCCAATAATAAGAAGTGTGTATTATCATTATGCAATGTAGTTTAGTGTCACTTCCACTATATCCATAGCCAAAGACAAGTGTGTATGGAATGCTTTGTATATAAAGAGTTTAGTAAATACATGAACTTGCACGTATGATATTTATTTTGTTCTTTGTAGGAAATCTGCTGGTGCCACCACAAGAGGGCGCACTGCAGGAAGTAACAGCGGAGGAATGTGGAGATTCTACACAGAAGACTCCCCAGGACTTAAAGTGTAAGTAATATCAGAAAATTAAAATCATTCGTCCTATACGGTTACCTGTACGATGTGCTGATGAGTAGCATGGGGTATATTTTCATGATCAAATCGCTTCATGGTACAATTATATTTGTCAGATTTTAGTAGAGGATGGATGATCTCAAAGAAAATCTCAACCTTTTTCAGGATACTTCTTAATTGTGAAAGGCAGATATGTACATTTATGCTGATTGTTGACATTTTTGTAGTAAACCAATACTATTAAATAGGTGACATGAGAAACTCTCCCTATATATTTCAAAGTTCACAATGTTCATCTCTCTTTTCACTTTGTACCAAATGTATGTTGGTTGTTCATTATTCCTGACTCATATTTGTTATCCTCTTTTATTCAATCTTCTAGTGGACCAGTGCCTGTTCTTGTCATGAGCCTCATCTTTATTGCATCAGTTTTCATGCTTCACATCTGGGGAAAATACACCCGCAGTTAGAATGGACTCTTCCAACATCTCAATGGAGTGCAAAGCTACATGTATATGGTTAGGAGTGGAACAAAAGAACTGTGTAAAACAGGGGGAATGCATGTACTGAGGGACAGAATACTCAACCGATATTCTGAATCATGTTTGATAATAGCCTACAATTGATTTCAACAGTGATGAATGCCACAATCTATGAGAAAGTCATCTGAAAGTCTACAAGTCTATGCTGTTTTTCCAATTTCCAACCGACAAGTCCCAAGTCAAACTCACTCATCAAAGAAATAAGTTTCCTGACGGTTCTAAAAGATAGTTTTTCAGTATTCACGGCATTAGCCACATAGTTTTTAATTTATCGTTTTTTTTCTTCCTCACGACGTTTCTTATCAATTCTGGAGTTGCAGGGAAAAGTGGTCAATTTGTAAGGGGAAATTATGATTTGTCTGTCCTCTATCCTGCCAGTCTGTATATTTCAATGCCTGTTTTTCTGTGAATATTCCCTTTGAACAAACCAAATTCCATACTGCATATAAAACTCATGCAAATTATGCGGTGATTTTTGTCCTTTCTACATGTTTTTGTTGTGTAATTTGTAGCATTTACTAAGTACATAAAGATAATATTACAAAATAAACAAAAGTGTGGCACTGGACATATATCACATTGTATTGTAATGCAGCGGTCACATATCTCCCAATATCTGTATACGAAAGGTCAGTTCAAACATTCCTTGGGATTTCAATTTAAAACTAAAGTTATGTAGTTATAGATAAAACTTATTTTATTCCTAGTAATAATAGTAGAGTAGTTATGTATGATGAAAGAATCTTGTCAATTGCGTTTGGATTTTAAAGATAATAAAGTTTCTGTGTAAGTTGTCTTATATAAGTGACAATTTTGTGTTCCTCTTTTTGTATGTTGTGACTACATTTTATGGATATAGGGCTAACGGGACATGGTGTTTTTTTGTTTGTATTGAAGATCACACTTTAAATTAAACTCTCTAATTATCAAGTGATTTCACCAATCACCCTTTGTATTATGGTGGTTATGACTAGCCCTTTAAAAACGGGCCATTTCCATGTTCTGAAAGAGTTTTTTTAATTACAAAAGTCCACTAAGGTAAATTGAAATTTGTATATACACTTGAAAAACATTATTGCGTATGTCAATGGAAGAAATTTGTAAATAATTTCATGTTAAAACCAGTGCAAGGGTCAAATGTACTGGTAGTTTAAAAATTTGCAACACCATTTCCCTCTTGTGGAGACTGAGCACATGCCCCCTGTGCCCCCCTAGATCCGCCACTGTACGTGACTACACAAACGTGTTGCATAAAAATCTGTTCCAATCCATGCTTTTCAGGGAACATTTTTTATCTGATGTTCTTCCACACTTGCATGATACAATGATAAAGCTCACAAATTATTTTTCACCTCTTCCCAGAACTCAACTTTCTCTTTAATTGCTCCAAAACCTCTGCCACAGCAAAATGAAATGACTTGGAGTACGGTATACAAAGTGAGTGTGGTCAGAAATACACACAGAGAAGGAGGGGCAATTTTTTTTGTTTATGTAGCTATTTCATTTATCTCCAAATTGTGATATTTTCGTTTTACATTTAAAACAAATTTCCTTGCAGCAATTTTATTTGAGGCAGTTTAGCTGGTTATGTGTGTATGAGGCTTGAGGTGTCATTATGAAGCAAGGGATTTTGTTTCTGATGATAAATATTAATGTTTCCCTTCACTATTCACAAGAGGAAATCTCGTCTCACTCTCTATGCACTACAAACACCACATGAGCACTCCACCATCAAACATGTATGCAACACCCCCTGTCACTCTCAGTTCTCTCTTTTTTTTTTGGGGGGGGGGGGGGGGGGGGGGTCACAACCTGTTAATGGGAATCTGTAAATCTTTTCCATCCCTCAAGGAAATCCCAATGTGAATGCTGCACATATAGCACCATGACAGATTTTGAGACAAACAATTTCAGTATTCAATAATAAGTTTATTAAGTTAATATTTTCTATATCACACATCTCACCATATAAGATTTTAGAATAGCTGAAATGCAATAATATCATTTGCATAGTACACCTTAGATTTTAATTGCTGTAATTCAACTGACTGTGAAACTAATCCCATATAAAATTCATTGAGAACATAAATTAAATTTAGATTTACATCATATATGTGACTTAAAGTCTATAGAATAAAACAAAATTGCGTAAGAGTTTATATATGTATATTTAAAATTACTGCATTAGAGTGTATTCCAAATTTACCCCCTTCCTAAGGGGGAAAAATGGAACAATTAATAGAAAAAACATATGTAGGTGATTAGATCAGATTATAGTAGAATTCTACCATGTAATGGTCTCTATTTACTGTAATAAACACAACAAATGTAGTACATGTATATAATCAAAATATTCTCTCTATTTTTTTCATTTTTAATACACCCAACATTGTAACATATTGCTAAATGAGAGATTTAAAAATGTTCATTTCTACATTGACGTCCAACATAAATACCCTGTTAAGATCCGAATGACTCCGATATTACATGATACGATGTTAATCCTCAGGTAACCTCTAAGCTCAAGTCAACAAAGTTAATGGATTTGTCAGCTAGCTTACATCACAACCAACTTAGTGTATAATTTTACTTAAAATCTATCATACTTCTTGTTCTATGATACTAAATCATTCATAAAATATTATTCCCTGAATAACTGGATAAATGAACTCTACACATCTCTACTCAGTCCCTTGGGAATATATCCAGTCACTGTTAAAGTCTGCTACCCCAAACGATTTATGAATAAATTGTGCGTATAGTTACATTTTCTTGGAATCAACTTACCCTGTGGGAAAAGTACCTACAACCAATAACAATAGTAAAGATAGGACCTTCCTTATTATTCAGAATTTGTATTGTCATTTACTCTAATATAAATACATATATTTTTATTTTAGGCAACTATGCATTTCTATTACATTCATGTTGCCTAACATGACCCACTGACCCTTAAACAAAGCCTTTTGAACGTAACCTAGATGATCTGAATGATCTTGAGCAACGAAGGTACAACCATTCGTTTGACCCAAGGTGGTTATTACAGGCTAAGAAATTGAGGTAGTAGAAACTATCTGGTCTCTAATCCAGAAAAAAAAAGCAAAGATAGATGAAGACACACAAGTGATGTAGCAGTATACCCATGAGAGATGGAGGATGAAGGTAGGTGAAGGATACAATCAAATGTGGGTATGCTTTACCTAGGATTGGCACACAACCAGCAGAACAGATTACAGAAGGACTCATCAGTTTAATAGTCAAGCACACATGCCAGACATGGAGAGAGAGAGAGAGAGAGAGAGAGAGAGAGAGAGAGAAAGAGGAAGAGAGATACAGAGGCAGAAAGAGAGAGAGGCAGAGAGAGAATCACAAGATGGATAGATGGCATCGTAGAATGAGAGTGTAAAAACAACACAGGTACATGTAGTGCAATATGGATTAATGATGACAAACCTGCCTTCTGCAGGGCAAAGAGACTAGGTAAATAGACAATTGAAAATAGATGAATTAGGTAGAGAGAAAAATTGACAGATAGTTACATGTAGATCCAGCGGTATATCCAGCAATTGATAAACAGGGACAACACAATCCTGAGAAGGGCAGTCCCATCATGTGAGGGGGAGGGGGAGGTGGATTATGATATAGCTTTAGGCTTCACTCAATACTGGATACACCACTGGATTCTGCATTCAAAGCTCCACCAAGATACAGAGATACAGCCTATGGTCATAGAGCACTTGTGTCAGTCAGAAAAACCCAGATCCCACAAGGAAGCTAGTGCCACTATAAATGTAGTTAAACCATACACTCCACCAGGAGTTTTAAGCAGTACATTATCCGTTCATGTTTCTACAACCATCCACAAACCCGCCGCCATCACAATCCGCATGAAGCTTTGCCACTGCAGACTAATATACCATGTACACCATCCAGCCTCTACGTTTTCATGTTCCCTCTGTTTATCATGACATGATTGGAAAAAAAGAAGAAAACAAAAAATAATCTTGACAGTAAGCATTGTAAAGATTATTATGGCAAATAATAAAAGGAAAAAGAAAGAAAGAACAAAAAAAAGAAAATCATGTGATCCAATATTTGTAGACGTTTACTTTTCAATAATTTTTTTAAAACTGTGCAGCCTTAATGTTAAAGCCTATCATCCATCACTTTGCACAAAAAATAATAATATATGAATAAAATCAAATAGAATAAATAAATGAATAAAATCAAACAGATTAAATATGAATGAAAATAAAATAAATTGATAATTCTTTAAAATTATAAACCACCTAAGTATTGTGGAACACAAACCACAAGTTTAGTTGTGCGTAAAAAACAGAATAAATAAATGAATGAAATTAAAATAAATTGCCACAATTCTTTGAAATTAAAAACCACCTAAGTATTGTGGACCACAAACCACAAGTTTAGTTGTGCGTATAAAGCCCAAATGTATTAATATTACATGTATGACTCCTTCAAAAATATGCTAGTCAATTAATTTGTATTCGATTGTTATGTCTATTTTCTAACCTTATTCTAAGTCTTATCTAAACCATGGTGGGTCCATGATATCATATACGGTATGTCGTCTTCATCAGAAAGATAAGCACGATGAAAAAATTTCCACACACTATGGTGAGGAAGATTATATTACATTACAATGTATTTATGACAGATGTCTTAACTCCACACAATCACACAGCACTCGATACACATACCATGTAGAAAACATACCACACAAGTATTTTTAATCAAAACTCATATCCCCCTTCCTGAAAAAAGTGAATGTTGACTATAATGAGTTATGTATGTTTTTATCAATCATATAAAGACACCAAAGAAATGGAGGTGCATGAAAATGAGCACTCAAGAGACACATGAGAATATCAATCATTATCAGTTTCTTCACAATAAGTATATTCAATATGAATAATATGAAAACAAGTTTCCAAAGAGGGGCACACTGAGACAATGAGTTACTCATGACATCAAAATAGCCTTACAAGTACTAGAAAAAACAACTTTCCTTTATTTTTCTTCAATAGAAATATATAAAACACTCCATCTAAAATTGCTGGTGCTATAAGTGCTGGTGCTAAATGAATATCTCTACCCATCACATGAGTATAATAAAGAAGATATAGTAAAAGAATTGCAATCAATATATAGTTAATATTAATAACATTTAAAATCAAGATCAACAATCTTGTAACAGCATTTTTTCTAAAAAATATCTACATTACTAACAAATCTTTCCAGATTTTAGCCAAGCTGCCATATACACCCTTACCAGTACTCAAAGTATCCAGGAAATTGCGTTCTAACAACAAAGCCATATAACGTTTACATAAAACTAGTTAATATAGCCTCCAAACACCCAAAAGTTTACATCAAATTGTGTATTTGACAGTTTTGGCTCAAATTGCATATTTCATAAATAACAAATAGTTATATCTACATTACTATATAAACCTAAAACATGAGGAAAGACAAAAGCATTTCTACTGCAGCTTGCTAAAGGTATATTATTTCTACTAGCATTTCAGAAAAAAAAGAGTAAAAAAGTATCTATTATTCTTAATATTCATTTACTGTTGCCAGGTATACAAATTTGAATGGTTTTTCTATTAAAAAGCATCTTGTTGTCAAGGTGGAGTTTTCTTTTAATAGAATCAAAGTTCTGTTAGTCTACAGTCATTTAAATAAAAAGCAAGCTTAATTACATGTAACTCTACAGAAGAGGAATAATTAGTTATTAGCTATAAAGATATTCCCGAGCATAACAATTGCATATGACTCCTAAAATATTCTGTTCTTGTATAGCGCATATCACATTAACGTCCCTATGTGCTTCCAAAGAGTTTTTTGAAAATTATTTATTACCCTAGATTTAGCTCTGGCAGCCTATATCAGCGCACAGTGCATTTCAAGGAATAACCCTACCAGGTACCCATTTACCTCACCTGGGTCAAGTGTGGCAAATGGACATTAATGTCTTGCCAAAGGACATTAGTGCCGCAGCGGGACTCGAACCGCGAACCTTGTGATCCACAGTCTAGTGACATATCCACTCGACCACGACACCTCTATATAAGTGGATTTGAATGTAATCATGAATTCTGTTGGTGACAGAATTTTTTTTTCTTCAGTCAAAATCAAATGAAATTTTCACTGAATGTTCAAGACTACACACACACACACACACAAAAAAAGATTCTGCTAAGCAATTCAGTATGAAATATGATATCAATGAAAGATCAAACGGGCTTCCACATGGACATAGTCTCATGCTTGTGTATATAGGATGTGCAATTCAATAAATCAATGAAGATGACTTGGCAAACTTTTGTTTGTTTGTTTAGATTTCCATGCATGGAAACCTCTGGCATGGAAAACAATTCTGAATTACTTTAAGCAAGTTTATCTAAAATGGAATTTCATTCCCTGACTGAACTTGAGGTAATTTTTCACTGGAATCTATAGGAATCTACTGCAATTTACAGTAACAATCTATATAATTACTGTACCACACATATAAGAAAATTCAACGACAAATACAAAATTTCAGTTTAGCCTTCATTTGGAAACGGATTTCGGTGCACATGAAGTTACTAATTAAATACTTGATATGCTCAAATATAACAGCCTAATTTATCTTTGTATTAATTCCAGATAATTAGTATGTGCAATTGAGTAGATCATTGAAATAATTTCATTTAAACCTGTCTTCATTGCTACTGTTTAGTACAGATTTCATCCATACAATGGAGATTACAATCAAGGTACAGGTTATACAATGTACCGGTACTTGAGAAGCTCAAGAAGCTTTAATATTAGTATAATCAAAACTGGTTAGGTGACCACCTGTCTACAAAGACCACATTTTGTGTTTCCCTTGAAGATGGTTTCTCAATGAAACATGTACTAAAGGAACCTGTCTACAAAGACCACTTTTTGTGTTTCCCTTTGGCGGTCGCTGTAGACAGGTTTGACTGTATTTCGAATTGGTTAATGACGCTGGACTATTGTCACAACCCTGTACAGACCATCAGAATTCTTCATTCAACAAAGATTCATCAATATTAATAGATTGATTCAGTGTGCAATCCCTCTACATTAAAATTAAGGAAGATCACTGCTATCAACTCTAAAAGAAAAAGTTTGTTGAACAAAAGGATGTGTGCACTTTAAAGCAAAACTAGTTTTCATTTTATGTCTGAATTTTGTTGAATGGAGAGAGCCATGGCATGTACAGGGGAGATATTAGGCAAGAAAAGTATATCAGTTACCGGCGAATGCACTAACATGTATATATTATGCGGTTCAAAAATTTACCTTATTATTATTATCATACCTAAAGTATGTAACTTTCAACAGAGGTTGAACATGGGTTTAATGTGAATATTTTTTATAATATTAGTACAGATAAGCAACTTTCCTTCATTAACATTTATCAATATTCTCATTTACCAAAAATTATTAAATTCCAGAGGGGTAATACCAGATGTTAGAGAGATTTAAAAAAGAAGAAGCTATGACTATCTCGTCTAAATGCAGTATATTTGTGTGGTTAAACAAAGACCTAGTTTCTTGTTAAAGTAATGGTTAATTTCAGACTGTATTCACATAATTGCATTCATGTTTCTGTCTAGTCATTCATATTTTTGGAACACAATTATACAAAGCTCCCATCTTCTCATCACTGGGACTAAGCAGAACATAAGCATACTACAAGAAAGTTTATCAATGCTGAAATAGTTGAACTTCATCTAAATACACATTGAAGAACTATCTACAATATGTGTTTTGAGCATAAAATGTACAAGGACAAATTCATGTCATTGGCTCTAACAGTATGACCGAGCTCATGTAAAAAAAATTTAAAAAATCACACCAGCTAAAACAATTTCTTCATTGCATCCATAATAAAAACACCCTTTGTGCGCTTAGACAAGCTTTGAATGTTCCAATCAAAATGAATTTTAAAAACTTCTATATACCCATGTATATAGTTCCTCACAACAAAATTCCTTAAAGATGCATATACTCCCTATATCATATGAAATAAATATACAAAAAACATTAGATATTTCTGATAAAAAGATATTAAAGACAAAGATCTTACACGTATATCTATACACAGATCTTCATATACACACTAATGACAAGATAAGGTTAAAGAAAGAAAATAGAAAGAGGGGTAGAGAGGGGAGTGAGAGAGAGGGAGAGAGACAGAGAGAGAGAGGGAGAGAGACAGAGAGAGAGAGGGAGGGAGAGGGAAAAGGAGCTAGAGGAGTAGGGCCTGGGGGGGGGAGGAGGAGAATCAAGGAAGAGAGAGAGAGAGAGAGAGAGAGAGGGAGAGGGAGAGAGAGAGAGAGAGAGAGAGAGAGAGAGCAAGGGGCAGAGCAATAGTAACATAAATACATGTATAGTAAACATCTTTCTTGATAAATATTGTAAGTAATACCTCTAACCCATTATTTGTGACACAGCCTTATTCATTGCCTATCAATGCATTATCCGCTATTAAAACGTGAATGTACACAGCATCAGTCTATGCGAAACAGCAACCATTGCATGATAGAATGAACCGTGCACCACGCTAGAGAAGAAAACACAGCATTGTCTATACTCCACCTCCGCTCCTGTAGGTAGGAATCAGTTTACGCTCCCACTTGTTGAGCGCCAGCTCCAGGCGAATGTTGGCCATTGCTCCAGTCCTTATTGCACTCATGAGCTGGAGAATGAAAGAAAACCCCAATTCTCAGCATTAGCCCACTGTATGTTGCCATCATTACGTGTATTACAAAGTAAAAGTTTACAGAATTTATGGAATATATTCATAAAAATTAATAAGCTAATGTAAGCCAAAACCATGATTGAAAAAAAACAACTAGATGGTTTTAAAAGAAAAGAGTGACATCAGTTCAATTCTTATTCCATTAATTTCAAAATGATAACCTCCACATAAAGAGTGTCATTAGGATACTTTGAAAACTGAGGCTTGTTCCACAATATCAAAATAAAAATTATTATATTATATTAATATTGACAGAGAGTGTAATTACAGATAAAATGTGATTTTTTTTTTTGGCTATGACTTCATCCGATCCTCCCCCCCTTCCCCCCGAAAAGAAGTCACACAGCTCTACACCTTTATGACTGTTGGCTTCATAGATCATGTGTTACCTTGTGAATTATGCTGTAGTATGTCAGTTGAAGTATTTAAGAAATATCTCATAACACACCTATTTACTTTCTGATTAACTGCATTACATTTTCTATCATATTTCTGTTGAGTTTTAATTCATTGACTTATTTGTTGTGTAAAGCGCTTAGATCAGTTGTAAATTGGATATAGCGCTAAAAAAGAAACAGTTTCTTCTTCTTACTATTATTATCCTGTTTCTTACCTGTAGGAATTCCGTGAGTTCTACCCTGCCATTCTTGTTACAATCTACTTCATTCATCATGCTGCGTAGCTGATCTTCAGTCAAATCATCTCCAGCACTCTATGGATATAAAAAAAGCAACATCAATAACTAATAATGAAGACAGATAAAGACAACACGTAGTTCTCATTAACCAGCCCTTGTTACTGTAAGTCTGAACACAGGTTGCACACCTTTGCAATCTTCACAAGTGACCTTTCAAATACAAGTATGTGCATGCACAAAAATGGCTCAATGGGGACCTAATATATCCTCTCCTACTCCATCAAAGTTTGACTTATTTGACTTTAAGTTTGACTTATCAAGAATTCAACATCAAATTGATGAACTCTGGCATGTTTTAAGTAAAACAACAAAGCTATTGCAAATAATTTTATAAGGACAAATTCACAAAGTGCTTAATAAAAAATAATTTTAAAAAAATATATATTTATTTACATTGTACCACTGCTGTTTCCCCATTGACTACTGGATCCTCTAATTACCAAATTACCAAAGACACAGGTGATGTAGATGGGTACCTGGCAGGAATTAATTCCTTGAAATGCTAGCGCGCCGTAACAGCAGCCATGCTACAGCCAGGGTAATATATTAAAGTGGGGGTAGTAAAAGTCTGACAGATATGAGTGCTATACAAGAACCTGAATTCTCTCATTGCCATAGGGTTTACATAGGGGTCACCCAGTTCCAGTAGAAAATGGGTTAAAATACTTGGTTAGGAAGCATTACCTGCAAGAACTGTCTCATGTCATTAGGAGTAATGTATCCTTTCTTCTCCTTGTCTAACATCTGGAAACGCTTGGTGTACTTCTCTTTCTCTCCCTCAGTGAAGTTGATGGGTACAGTCATGAGGTCTGCTCGGCAGTTATATCCCATCTCTTCATTCAAAAATCTTCTTCCATCGGCAAGCATCATCTGTAGATGACACAAGAACATATAGATGATGTAATCTATTGAACAATAAACATCTTAGATGTTGCTTGTAAGTATCGGCTTGCATGGTGATGTAGATATACAGTAGGCTTGAGGTTGCACCATCCTCTCCAATTGGCGCTATAGTTCTCCTTAGAACTATAAGCTAAGAAAGATAACCAACAGTCTTTTTCGAGACTACACCAACATTCCTTTTCAGGACTACACAACCTTAAAAAAGATTACCAAGAGTCCTTTTCAGGACTCCTCAATCCTCCCTCTCTCTCACATAGTGCAACTGCAAGCCTACTGCATAATAAACATCTTGACAATATTAGCTTACAGCACACTGGACTCTGTGCTACACTGCTCATAATCTTTCAACTCTAATATTATGTCTGCTTTAAGGGAAAGACATATATTCGGAACAGTCAAATGGTAATATATTACTGCTACAGTAATAGAATTACTGTTGAACACCATTTTTTGCTGCTATCTTTGCATTTCCATGCATTCCAGCTATGACAAGCCTGTGCCTCTGTTGATATTGTGCAATGCTTACAGTCCAAGTTTACAAACAAACATAGAAGAGTCGAACTTTCCCCCTTTCATCTTGACAGTAACAATATTCAATATTTAACTCCATAATTCATGAACAAATTTTCAAAATTAGAGAAGGAAGACAAGCATTTGATTTTCCAAATATACTTGATAAAATATTAATATTGAAGCAGTTTAAACCTTCCAAGGGCACTAAAAGGGTTGATTGTGATTGCATGCAGGACAAAGAGATTGTTAGCTAACCTCTTGTTTAGTCTTGTTCCAGCTGAGTAGCTTGGCCATGATCTCAACGATCCTAGGTAGAGCTTCTTCAGCTGCTTGGACATTGAGAAAGGCAAGACGTGTCCTCCTAGCCAGCACATCCACTGCAGTACAAGCATACTCCTTCACTGCATACACCACCTAAAGTACACAATGAATCATGTTGATAAGATTATACAATAACGGTAGTGTATTTTCAAATTTCAGCCATGTATACATGAACATTCATGGATTATTAGTATAACTACCGTCTTTACTACTATGTTGTCAGGACAATTGCTTTGCAAACTTGTGAGGACCATTAACTGTGCTGCAAAACTCTCATAAAACATATCTATATTAGGTATTGACCTCTACTCAATGACACACATGTAATAATCTGAAGAAGACAAACATATAACTATGACTCTAAGCTGTCTTCCTATCACATGTATCAAAGTCAATCCTGATGGAGTCATAGTCTTAAATATAATAGTGAAAGATTTACATCAAAATCATATGGAAAATGTCATCCTTAATGGATTCAAGAGCAACAGAAAAACCTTACCTCTGCTTCAATGTAAGGGAAATCCTCCACGAGTCTCTTGCCTACTACTGGCCATCTCTTTCCTGTCAAGCTTGCCAATCGGGCTACCTCTACTGCCTTGTCTCCATAGGTGCTGGACAAATGTTGGGCAACCTGTAGAAAAGATTTGTCATGTATGATTTACAGTGGATTATACAGTGATATTGAACATGAATATAGAGCATAGCATAGTATGATACTAAACAACATCAAATGATCAGTTGAATGAGAGAATATCAAGAAATTAGTTTTCAGAAGGCACCCCCGGAAGAGAAACAATTAAATTACATATAACTTTATGTACAAGGTAATAATCCACTAACTTTCACATACAATTCATACCCATCCTACAGTCATTATTCTAAGCATCATGCTAACCCTTTTTGAGAATTTATTTTTATTTTTCTAAAATTTTTGTATTTGTTTTTATTGATTCAACCATAAAATAACATAAAATGGAAACAATAACAGTATATAAATTTTAAAAAGTAAACAAAATTATGGTTAGGAACACCAAAAAGCAAAATGCTTGTAACATGGTATCCTAAAAGAAGAAAAATTGAAAAACATTTAAAATTAAAATGAACAAACAACATTATCACTCCCAGACACAAAAACGCAGACACTCTCACAGATACTACACTCATCCACATATGCATGGGACTTCAATTTGAAATATAAAATGTAAAGGGGGGGGGGGGGGGGGGGTCACATATACATTATTTATCATATACATGCATATATCCATAACATTTCATTACAAAAAATGAGATACCTCATGGGGCAATGAGTAAGTATCACTAGCTCTCACCTCATTTTCGAGTCCAAAGTCTTGAATGAGTCTGATAAACATGGTAGGTGTCCAACCATGAGCGCCCTCGAGCAGTAACCCATCAGTCAATGAACTATGCCTGGGTTCAAGACCACACGTCTCTACTGCTGCATCAATAGCATCCACGGCCATGCTGCGGTATGTCGTCCATTTACCACCTGCATACAAATCATATAAATAGTTGGTAATGGGGGAGCAAGCATTTATTAGCTTTCCCTGCAGCATTCACTACCACGCTACTGTATTTGGTCCTTTAAAGCCCCAATGTACTAGACTTGTAGCTACTTGCTCCCTCTATATAGAAAACAATGCCTAATGCGGTGCCCGTTGGTCCCCCATGATCCTCTTTTTCTTATGTTAATTGAGAGCCGAGTTGATGAGAAAGCCACCTGCCAGTGACCACCCTGGGTGGTCTAATCCCTCCTGGTCAAACTAGTACAGACGGGCTTTAAGAAAGTTTAAAGGGGGAGTTTATCCTGATATTAAGTTGGTTTAATGAAAGCAGAAAAATGAAAGCAAAAAAATGAGAGAAACAAATTAGTGAAAGCAAAAGTTTGATCACTATCTAATTGAAAATAGGAAAGTTATGAATTTTTGAAATTGTCATCAGTGAAACACAAATTGGCAACACTGTGGCGTGTATCTTGCGCGCTACTGTTCAATTTGCTCTGTGCAGAAAATTTCATAAACTTTCATTTTCTTAGTTAAAATGACGGAATAGATTTGTTTCATACAGGGGTTATACAAAAACATATTTTCAATAATGATATTTGGGGTGAACGTATGATTGAAATTTTCTTTAAGGGAAAATACAGATTTTTAAAGTTTTTTAAGTTCAGGGCAATTGGAAGGGGACCTCGCAAGAGCGTCACAGAGTTTCCAATATGTGTTTGATTGGTTGCATCTTCAAAAATTCACAACTTTCTTATTATTTATCGTTTTTTGCTATAACTTTCACTGACCCTTTTGTCTCATTTTTGTGCTTATACGATGTCATACATGAAATTTTGTAATGCCAGTTGACTTAGTAGGGCATTTATATTTCTTATTATCTACATGAAAAAAAGGAAAGAAGCATGCATTTTCAGTGTACAGGTAACCAGTATTAAAGCAGAAATAGGACATCTTGATCAGACCTCATGTTCCTGCAAGGGACAAATGATAAAATGCTACTCTGATCAAATATCACAGAATGAATAAGTGCGATCTTATTTCTGTGCATGATTGATGCTGACAAGTGTATTTCTACTGCAGACAAAACTGGTGATAAACCATGGTAATGCATCATTCCAAAGGGCTTTGCCTTCAAGGATGAAAGTCTAAAGGGTACAGTTCTAGAGGCCAGTGAGAATAACTGATTGTGATTGAAAATATAATACAGTCAAACCTGTCTATAGCGACCGCCCAAGGGAAACACAAACAGTGGCCTTTGTAGACAGGTGGTCACTAAAGCAGGTTTGACTGTATTACCATTACGCCACTCCTAGCTTACCTGCAATTGTCACGAGTTTGTTATGGGAGACATCAATAACATGATTTCTTGAGAGAGATTCGGTGTTCTTAGAGTTGGGGTCCGTCACTAGAGGTCTGATTCCACTCCATGCTGCCATCACATCACCTCGTCTTACTGTAAGCATTGCAAAATAATAAACAGAATATCAGGGGGGTGTTTCACAAAGATGCTAAGTTGAACTTATCTCTAAGTTGGACTTAACAATTATGGAAAGCCATTAGCATCCTTGAAAATATTTTGTAAAAGTTATTTTAAAAGGCATAAAATGTTGATTCAAATCATTCACATTTTCTATAATCATGGGAAATTTCATGTTCTTAATGTAGAATTTATGAAAAGTATAAAATACTTCAATATTTGTTTTTGAATATGTTTCATTATAAGGCTAAAAATGGCTCTCCATAATCTTTAAGTCCAACTTAGAGTTAAGATTGACTTAAAATCTTTGTGAAAAACCCCCCAGATGTGTTAATAAAAAACTACTATACAAACATACACTGACTGGAAGAATAGAAGGGAGGAGGAGTAGGGGTAGAACGAGGATTCTTTGGATGAGTAGCTTAAGGAGTGGGATTTCTGAAAGTGGAATTGATCTCAGGGAGAATGAATTACTTCATAGAATATGGGACAGAGAGTTGTGGCATTCCATGGTCCCCAACATCTCAGGAAATGGCACGTAAAGAAGAAGAAGAAGATACAAACATCCTCTACTGTGCTTTAATACAAAGTATCATACCACATTACCCTAGCTATAGACAAGCTACCATAAGACACTCAAGCACTCAATTGAGATCCCCCCCCCCCCCCCCCCTATGGGGCGCCTAATCACATTACCTGGATGAAGATTGGAAAATGTTAATTAATTATTGTTTTGCTAAAGGCATTAGTATCATAACAGGGATTCAAGCTACATACAATTTGATCCAAAAGTCTTATCTACTGGACCACAACACAATTTAGAAAGACGTCATATTTTCTCTTATATTAATGACATATCACGACTATACCAATTTTATTGGTAACATACATGTAACATTGTATATTAACTTACAGTAGTCTTCCATTCATAAAAGGTTCTTCCTCAACTATTATCATCGTTTGTGTCCTTTGTGTGGACAATTTCCTCACATTTTCCACCATTACTGATATCATAGAACCCATCGGGCTGAACACAGTGAATTAAATCTGTGTTTCACAAGAAATCATCTCAGATAAGGATATGCTATATAACAACATATGGCAAAAAACAATATCATTTTATCTACCGGTATATGCAAACATAAATCTTACCGGTGACATCTTTACTGAGGTAGTCTTTGATTTCTTTCAAGATGAACTGAATATCAGCTTCTGATGGGGAAGGATGATGAGTGACTTCACAAGGTCTATCTGTTGTGCCGGCAAGAGTAAACTTCTGCCACGGAAGGAAGAAGATGACACGTCCATCGCTGGTAGATGGATCTAACAGACCCATAGCTTCAGGGCTTAGGGAAGAAATTTAAAAAAAAAAATTACAATGACCAGTGAAAAGCAATGAATATCAAACAGCAATGCGCTCCATTCTTTAAGAGATCATAAACAGAAAAATATATAGGTAATGCCTCTAAAATTACATTATTTGTCTTTAATAACATATAAATATTACTTGGTAATAGAAAAAAAACCCATGAAATCCATTGATGCATGTTATAAAAGACTGTTAGCAACCCTCGTTGTCATAGTGTGCGCTAATTCACAGACGAGTACGCCAGGAACATGGTTATTTTAAACGGGGCAAACATAATACCATGAAAGTGTAGGAAGTAAATTCATAAATGAAAGAACAATTGGCTAAAGTAATAGGGCAACCATAATGCGCTGTAACTACAATTGAGAAACCATTTGTTGCTGTTGCAATAAGAACCTACCTGTAATAATCTGGTAGTACTATGTGAACCCCTGAGCTTGGTTGGCAAATCTTCTTGATTTCTGGGACAGCCATCTGTCTAATGCTGTCTGTAAACGGTCCTGTTGCATTGATCACACACTTGGACATCACACTGAATTCTTTACCTATACAAACATACATACATATTGATATTTATATAGCGCCTTCACATATCATGCTCAAAGTGCTTTACATTAGTAAATAAAAACAGCATACGGTAATTATTTTGCTCTCCAAGTGCATTACACTGTAAAAATAATGATTACAAAGAAAACAAATAAGTTTTGAGATTTCTCTTAAATCGGATGCGACTGAGGTGCAGGAACGTCAACTGACAATATATTCAAATACATGATAATAAACATTTATAGAAATACATGCTACGTGATTCCATCGCATTAAATATATGTTGATAAACCACACTGTTTTTACCATCTCAGACCATGTATTATACCGGTACATAATAACGAGGTTTGTGTACTGGTTTATCTTCTTCATTGCCTGTAGACTGACAGTACATGGGAAAGGCTATTTTGTCAAGCATGTTCTTGGCTGGTGTGTGTTATAAAATACTAAACAGAAAATGTAGGAATGCTTTGAACCATTTTTAAGCAGATGATCATTGACAGCATGTGCTCAAATATGTTCGGGAGCAAATATGGAAATAGATCTACTTCTACATAATAGCACTTGCATAAAATGCAATTATTGACAGTTGCATGAATGCATGAATGTCTGAGGAAGGCATCTGAACCATGGACACTGTGAAACTGTCAGTCTCCATTTGTCATAGAAGTATAAATGAATGATGCAGTAATATCTGTGGTCTTGATTACAACCAGTGGTCTGTAGAGGTGTCATGGTCAAGTGGATATGCCACCGGACTGTGGATCACAAGGTCCGCGGTTCAAGTCCCGCAATGGCACTAATGTCCTTTGGCAAGACATTGATCTACATATGATTTGTCACTCTCCACCCAGGTTTTAACTTGGTACCCTGTAGAATGTGAAAGCTAATGTGCTTAAATTAGCAAGTGTGCGCTTGTAAAAATTACGCCTGGCTGGAATGCTCCCTAGGTAGTGGAGAATGTGCATACATCGTGTACGGGTAAGCCAGAATCCGATGACCGGGGTGATAATATATATCTGTCAAGCGCTTTGAGAGGGCCTGCGGTCTTGAAAAGCGCTATATAAGAACGAGCTATTATCATTATTATCAAAAAGAAGTAAAGTGGTGAAAAGATGTCAAAAGGGTCAAGACAAGACCAGGGCCCCGTTGCACAACACTTACCATTGATGGTAACTTTGCCATCAATGGTTACTCCCATGGAAACCTTGATTTTGATTGGCTGATGAGCTCTGTTACCATGGTAGTTGCCATTGATGGCAAAGTTACCATCAATGGTAAGTTTTATGCAACGGGGCCCAGTACAATTAGATGCTTCTCACCTGTCATTCTATCCCTGAGTCTGGCTCCTCTCACCTCCTCCTCTCCTTCCTCATTCTTAAACTTGATCAGATCAAGTACCTCTGTATGGTTGGCCAGTGTGGCTCCCATCCTGGCCGCTGTCAGTGCTATTGCAATATTCATTCTGGCATCATTGTGCTGGCCTGAACAAGTGTAATCAATGTTTGACATTGAGAAACAAAGTCAACATGCTAATGAATACAAATACATGTTATAACTTGAAAAACAAAATGTTCAAAAATTTAAATTTTCTTATCATATACCAGTATGCAAAATACACAGTTTATCTAACATTTATGCGAGCAGAAAATCGCACACTTATGTTTCATGAAGTCTGTTTTCTTTGTATTTTCAAAAGATTAATCCATAACTGATTAAAGATCATTAAAACACTGTGATTCAAGAAAATGAAACATAATTTATTTGAATTATGTAAGGATGCTACGATGTTATTTCAATTGATTGTGTGTGATTGTTGATTTGTATAAAGCATATATTCATCAATAAATTCATTTTACAAAAAAATAAAATACAAATACAAATAGATGTCATAAATTACAACTACATCATAACATATAGCTTTTGACCCCAACCCATATGGCCTTTAAATGTAAGTAAGGGCAAGTTTAATCTACAAATTCAATCTAACTGGAAGTTTTACTCCCTGATACATCTTGTTTAAATGTTCTCCTGTCCATTAGTTGGTAATGTTTCCTTTCTAATGCCTAATTTAGGCAGCATTGTTTTTGAAAGCTTTTAGAAACAAGTGAAAATTTCATTAATTCATTTAGAACTATACTCTAAATACCAGACGGAACAACAATCACAAAATGTTGTGAATGTGCAAGTAAGAAACACCACACGTGTGACTGAGACTGATCACTTAGCTTGAGAAAGTCCACAGGAGTGAACGTAAGCTTGCACAACAAAATTCAAGGTTGGTAGAAGCTTAAAAAAATACATTTTAAGAAACGCCACACTTTGCAAAGTCTGAAAGCAGGTGATTACTAATGATGACATTAAAAGAATCGAGTCTCACCGTCATAGTAAACGATAGCGCCAACAAGTTTGTCTCGTTTCAGCATGGGGAACCTCTCCAAGGCTCGTTCCTTGGACAAGAAATAGCTTGATCGTAAGTTCTGTCTCCCGGCAACTAAATCATATGCTTTGATACCAGCCCAGTAGTAAGGAAGCTGCCAAAGTCTAGGTTAAAGGATGAAATGTAGTATACATGTAATTATAGTCAATTGTGAACCTAGACAGTAGGATATGTGACACAATTGGTTGTTCCAGTAATGTTCATTTATGATCTGAATATCAAGTGTAAAGCACACCACATGATGCAGGCATTGCATGAATGTAAAGTAAAAACAAAAAAAGCATTCTATCAATTTTCAAGCATTCTATAATTGAATAAGTCACATGTGCTTTAAATCTTGATACATTTTAGAAGTATGTAAAACATCACAACTTCTCATTGGCTATAGTTCATTATCAGACACTTGCAAATGTTGTAAGTATTTGAGATTCTATGCATTTTCATGCCAGAATTGCCACCAAATACTTTCAATCTTAACACAGCATTGTGCAATTCCTAATAGTTTTTTTCTTGAAAATAGTCTTCATAAACAATTTGGGACTTTGCTGGTTATACAGTAATGAATAGTATGCATAGGGTAAAACTTACTTGTAAACTGGAAGCATAATAGGTAGAGGGCTAGAAAGATGTGGGGCTATTTCCAATAAATTAGCTCTCTCGTGTAAAGCCTCCTTCACTAACTTGTACTGTAAAATGATTATAATTATCATGGATAATTAAAATAGTTGGATATTCAATGAATATGCTGCACCACATTATTTTCATTTGCAATTCACATTCATGCTATTCATTTATTAATTTAATCAAGGTTGATTTAAAAATTTGAATCCTAAATTACGTACAACCATGTGTTACAAATGTGATAATTGATGCTATCTCAAATTTCATAACTGGTACTTTCCTGCTGAGTTTCAATGACCTTGCAAATTTTGAAATTCATAAACCCATTCTTTGTAATTAAAAGTAATGCTTTTAAAATGAACAAAAGCTTTTCCTGCCTCTGTAGTGTCAATATAATAAAACATGTAGTGCCAAACAGGACAAGTGTCAGTACTCAATAAGGTTCAACTTGGTACTGTAGGTATGCAGAAATTGAAGAGATGTGCCCAGAAAAACTGCAGAAAAGATGTATGGAATAATTTCCAACGAGGCAGTAAGGCATACAAGCCGCTCTCTGGAAGATTATGATATTTAAAAAAAATCAAAGGGGTTCAACCCTCTGCTGTATTTTTTTTAATGAAACAGCTGTTAAAATAGGGGTTTTCTTAGAGCATTATGTTCATATTAGCACTTGGCCAGCTGCCTTTATTTAGTTGCCATTCAACGAGGAACACCCAACATTAACACCTGGAGATAAAGTTAGGACTAACCTGGTCATAATCTAGACCTAAAATAGCTTTTTGAAGGTAGCGTACACCTCCATGAATCAGCTTGGTGCTTCGACTGCTGGTACCACTAGAAAAATCATACTTCTCTACAAGGGCAGTCTTCAGACCTGTATTGGAGAAATACATGTGCATGTTGAGTAACTTACAAGTAAATACATTTTGATTGCCAGGCCAAGCACAGTTATGATGACTTTTAGGGCATGTGAACCGTGTATTCATCAATGGGCACTAATTGGCTGTAATATTTGAACTTATAATGACAAACAAAAAGTGCCTGTTTCTCTATTGGCCTATATTACCATTTCCCCAAAATTATAAAGTATACAAGACACGAGTGGATTATAAATGAAATATGCAGGGGGGGGGGGGGGGGGGACCTTGAAAATTGTTATGATTATATTCCATCAACTCCAGCCCAAGTTAGTTCAGGCTTGGTAAATTAACAAACATGTACTGAACCTGTGATCTTTACCGATGCTCCCTAAATCTAGATATTAATTCAAGAAACAGAAAAATTATTTCTTAAAAACTTGTAGAGGTAGAACATGAGGAATACTAACCTCTACTAACTGCATCAAGAGCCACTCCACAACCAGTTGCTCCGCCCCCTATAACCAAGACATCGTATTCATGCGTGTGCTGTAGTGATTGGATCTGCTGCTCTCTCGTCGGGAGAGATGATATGTAGTGCACATTGCGTAGCTCAGCTGCTACAACCTGAGCTTTTCGGCTCTGAAAATATATCAACGTGTGGGAGACATGATGGATTGCAAACCTTGTACACAGTTCCGAACAAATACTTAAATTTTATGTTTGCTTCGTGTTTGAATTTGAGATTAAAATTTCAAGATTTAAATATTTATTATCCATATATAATAATATTCGATTTTTTTTTTTAATGAAAGAAATTCAGTCAAAAGACATATACATTTTTAAAAATAGCTAATTGCTCTAAAAAGAGTCTTGAAACCAACTGAAACACTCTTCAGCCACTTCATTCAATCCACAATCTCTAAAAAGAGAAATAGAAGGAAGACAGAAAAATAAAAGAAAGAAATAGATATCTAGAAAAAAAACCGAAGACACAGAAAACAACAACTGCAAAGACAAAAAAACGAACACCGGGAACCTACATGTATTTCTTATTTTTGTGATCCTATTCTTTTACATCAATACAATTGGCTTATATAGACAAAGCTTTAGCAAAATCATCTTTCACATTCTTACACTCCGGACTTACCTGAGCCAATTTCTTATCGTTGTCCTTGGATACGATGTATCCAGCCGTAATCGCTCCAGCTCCGAGGAGGGCACCCCCAATCAGTGCCTTTCGCACCACCATTCTATGGGGGCTTAGTTACTGGAATATATACAAAACAAAAAGTGAAATTTAAAGGGATATTTTGTGGGATGTTTGTGTTTGCCTGTACCTTTACATTTAGTTCGAACATGACAGATTCAATGATTTATATTTCTCTATGATTCCCAATACATGCCTGTATTTTTTTCTTCATTAAAGGTAATACAAAGTTTTGGGAAATTTTGAGAATTGGCTGGATAGTGATTCTTTAAAATTTTGATATATTTGGATGCCCCTGTGAATGTATTAGAAGCACTAGAAAATTTAGCCTAAAAAACACTTCTACTTTCAATAAAAATTGAATATACAAATTTACCGGTGCTATAATTAATGAACTTTCAATTAAGTCTTTTACAAAAATATTGACAAACAAAGGCAAATATCTCAGTGAAAGTTGAACAAGACATTTCTCAACATACAGTAATAAGTTAGAAAGATGATAGTGATACCTTTATATCGGTATGTATTTTTTTTATATTTGCCGGGTAAGGTACTCTTCTTACTCTGTTGGATATTTTACCAGTTGTGTGAAATAATATAACAGCTGTCAAAAATATCACTGATATCTTATCATCGTGTTAAAGAAGTACCGGTAACCAAATTTTGCAGATTGTCAATCTCAGTCAACAGACTTTTAACACCACCAACTGGAAGGTCTTGCAATAATTAAGTTAAAGCTGGAACTAATGATTTTGATTTGATTTGATTTGGTTTATTGTCCACATAAATGGAAATTCTTTTTTCACATGGTTACAAAGTATACAGTACATAATCTAGGTCAATTTAACAAGCTTCAAATTACAATAGAGGTATAAAACCTACAATGTGTGAATCATTTTCTTTAGAATTGGGGTACTAAATAAAAAAAATTAAAATGCTACATGCCATGGATTTCCACTTAACTGACAATGTTTGAAAGACCATTACAATTTGAAGTTATGCTATGTTACTCATTAGGTTTAACTAAGATGGCAATGCCAAAATCAAAAATTAAAATTGGTAGGAAGGGGGGGGGGGGTTGTGTTTCCAGACGTACTTGTACACTTAACAAAAGTAAAGCTGTCACGTTTGCTGCATGCTGTTTAGTTTTATAAAAAAATAACAAGCATCAAATAACACGAACTATCATATTTTTCATTACGATATTGTCCAACATAAGCCTTAAAATATATGAAATATTGCATGTGAACCTTTATTAATTGCTGTTTTAAATTAAATGTCTAGATACACAATGTCTTGGTATAGGCCTACCACCGGTAGGTAGACGGTACCAAATGTGTACAGCTGACCAAATGAGTACGGTAGTGGCTTACAATTGCATTGGGATTTTATAATGGTGCAATACCCTCATTCTGACAATGTTTTCTATCAATATATCAATTTAATGGGAGTGACAACAACAGGAGTTCAGATTTACCTAATACTAATAATAGTAATACTAATACATAGTCCCTAACGCCGAGTCCAGCAGGTCGGGCCCCGCCCCACTGCACTGTCGGTCATAAAGGATGCCTAGCACTCTAGCCCCAAGCCACGCCGAAGATGCGGCGGACAAGCCAGGTCATCTTCGCTAGACGATTGGTCGCCTGCATACTAAATGTTGACAAGATCATTACTTAGGTTAACAGTATCTAGACTTTACTGTCAGATTAGTGGCCAGTTTCGTTTTTATTTCCTCTTTTAACATTCTTAGGTACATGTTCACATATCAATGAAATATAATACTTAATATTCGATATGTTTAGTAAAGGGCGTTAACTCCGTCTTCCCTATTTTAGAAGCATTTTTACTCACCGACAATGCAGAATTCGAAGTTCAGCCTCTCGCTCTCGTCAAATCCGGTTCCATGCAGGGACAGGTGAATAACGACGTTCTTTACATTTGGCCCGTATTAAATTATTCTTACAAATTTCCAAATGTTTTCTGACAGTCATATAGAGCTCCTAAATCAAATATTTCATGTTTGAAATAAGAAATTATGATGCGATAATCTCGGTGTCATACGATCCTCCAATAAATGCCGAAATATTATGTCATCATTACAGTACAAGCAGTGATCTAGCGCTAGCTAGCTCAGCTCAGTAAAAGAACACATATCAAGAGATACCTTACATCAAATTCATGTTCTGTAGCAAATTCTAATGAACATCGCGCTCGGTGTTCGATACACGCGGAAATTTTCTTAATTTTGAACCCAAGAAATTTAAATCATTTTTTTCTTCTTCTTATAAATAGGAAGTCAAAGGCGTTAACTTTTGTAATAAAATGATAATGTTGATCGGAGGCAAACATATTTATAAGAATCAACTACAAAAGGCTCAGTCCTTGTTGAATAAAAAAAAAAAAAAGTTCCCGCACAATCGGTGGTGAACTAGAATCCAGAATTGTGTGGCGGGGGGGGGGGGGGGGGGGGGGGGGGGGGGGGAAGAGACCCGGGGCCCCTCCCCTGGGAAAATAACAGGTAAAAACTCGTTATTGGAGACGGATCTTCTCCCCTGGTGCTCAAGGGGGGGGGGGGTGCGATTTTTAACCCCCTCGGGGGCAAAACAAAGAGTATTGCTCCTTACCCCCTCCCGCCCCCCCCACTCAGTGTTATTTAGGGTACGCGTATGCTTGTTCCCTCTTTTTGAAAGCACCCCCTATCTGAGGACTGCCAACATTTCCGAACTTCCCTCTCGCGGGCTTTTCCTGTCTTGGAGACCCCCCTAAATCATGAAAAATGGTCAATGTACCCCCCTAAATTCAGAATAATTTCTCAGGTTTCCAAAGAGATGAGAGAAAAAAAGAAAAAAACACCCCCTTTTGAAAGAAATCTCCGAGTGAAAATTAATACACCCCCTTTTTTAACCGTGATTCTCGGGCCGGACTTTGTCGCACGAGTACCCCTTTACCCGACATTTTGGTAACATGCACGCATGCGGTCATTCCGACCCCGGAGTGGGGTGGGGGGGGGGCCGTCCCCCCCCCCCGCTTATTAACCAGCTGGCTGAATATTTTATCACGAATTGGGCCCACTCTTTGGCCCCTCCCCTGCCGCCGGCTGGATCCGCGCCTAAGGGGGGGGGGGGGGGGGGGAATACATTAATCCTCAAAATAAGAAGAAACAAAATGTTGACATCCCAGTCTTGTGAGCTATATTATTTCTCGGACGCATGGTAATTGCGATATGGATTTTTAAGGATATACAGTGCTCATAATACTAGGCATATCCTACAGAGCAATTTTTCAAGCAACATTCTCCTTGAAATATCGAGTTGTCTAACTTGTCTTTCAATATTTTTGCCAACTAATAGTCTAATGGAAGGTTTTAGTCAGTCTGCAAAGTGAGAATCTGATTTCGGAACATTATAACCATTAGAATGTCTAAATTGGATGCCAATATTTCACACTCATTGTAAGAATAATTATGTATAAATATTCATTAGGAGCAGCTACACTGTAAGCGCGCACGAAAGATTGTGACGTAATAAAGAGTTTTAAGACTCATCAGTTTTGGTTTAGACACATGAACACGATGTAGTCCCTGTCTTGTATTGTACTAGTTTAGTTGGATTTGAGTGAATCAACCCTAGGCCAACAGCTATCAAAACATGGTGGCAGCGGTGGGATTCGAACCCACGCCATCGAAATGACTGGTGCCAACAGCTATCAAAACACTCATCTTTTATCTTGCATACTTGCACTGATTTTTACGTACAGATCATAGGATGGGAAGGTTAGGTTAACAAAAACGCTGCCGGGTGTGTTTATTTGCGCTGTAACAGCATCGTACTTGGGGTTCCTACGCGTCGCGGGGAGAGTAAGCTATCTTTCCTAGCTATAGCTTGTACACGGAAGTGTCGAGATGTGAATAAAAAATAATTATGGCCTCCATCGGTTGTGTATCTGCAGGGAGTTACTAACTTCATGCTTCAAGTTATAAGCAATTTGAATAAATATTATTAATGATCTGAATGACATGGATAATGGAATACACCCCGATTTTGAAAACCGATGCACCGCTCAGCGCTGTGGCGTTAGGATGGTGGGGGGGGGGGGGGGGGGGGGGGGCGGGGCGGGGGGTTGTATAAAATGAGTGGATCCCAAACTATTGGAGGCTGGGGTACTGTTTTTGAGCAGTAAAACAACGAGGCGAAACTATTTAATAGTTGCTTGGGTAGCGGCGGGGTGCGTTTTTCTTTTCTTTCTGCGGCACAGATTGGGGGTGCGTGTTGAGCCTATGGGAAAGTATAGGGTTAGGGTTAGGAATAAATCAAGACCTCTTAAAAAAAAAAGCCCCAATCTGTGCCGCAGAAGAAAATAACGCCGGCGGGGTAGCGGTGGTGGTGCATGGTGGTGGTGGTGGTTCATGGTGGTAGGGGGAGGGGGCAAAAACGCACCCATGTACAGTAATAGATTTTTTTTCCCCGCATACATAATTCCACAATTATTAATTTTGAGCGGCCAATGATGAATGAGGTGAACACTTTCTATGATAACTTTTGAAAGGTTCGACCTAAACACACAAATAAAAGATTTGTTTAAATTTGATGTATTCAACGTTTCTTATAATAGGCTATTACAGAGATGTCCTTGTTGGCGGATTAAGGCATATCGGCTCAAAACGGTAGAATGGACTATATCAATTAAATTTCGAAAAATTAATGCGTAAGAGAAAAGATTACCCAGTATTATGATAACCCATGCAATAGTCTGGCTGAGGCGTGGCCGGTGCCAACACACTATACTGGGCATGGTTGACCTCCCCGATGGGACACTTCAGTGAACGCATTCATAATAACAGACAGGCTTTTTATCAAGGTAGTTTTGGGTACACAAAACATTCACAATGCCTACACACAAAAAAAAGGATTCTGAACTGCAAGACTACGTACGTACCTACGTACGTACCTTGTCTTTCTACAAGAGACCGAGCTAGCTCACCCAGATACTGACACGTTCAAGGTCATGGTTATTGTATTGTATTTTTTCTTCTGGAATAATATTGCTTAAATACTTTTTGAATGTGTTTGAAGTAATTTAGTGGTAGGAGGAAGATTATTATATTGAATGGAGCTCCTATATTGAGTATAGTTCTGCGACAGTATTAAGTTATAGGTTTAGGGAGAACAAAGTTACCGGAATTGCGGAGGGAATAAATATGGGAAGGGGGTTGAAACATTTCATTCATACTAGAAGATAACATTATTATGGACTGATTTAGACAAATACATTTAAATTTTTCTTACGCCTGGATTCGAGAGATGACCATATTTTAAAAGTGAATGAATTGTGTATTAGAGATGTGTTCATATGGATTATCTTTCATTATTATTCTGCCCGCGCGATTTTGGAGAGTTTGCAATTTCTTACTATATTTTTTATCACATGAATTGATAAAAATATCCGCATACTAGAAGTCAAAAAGGGGTAAAAATATAATCGCTTTATAGATCAACTTCAAATTCGTCTCATTAACAAAGTAACGAAGTCTAGCCAAATATTTTACTAGGTTCCCAACCCTCTTACATAATTTATCAATATGGACAAAGACCCACTTAAGTTTGCTGTCGATAAAAAATCCGAGATAATTTTGTTCAAATTAAGACAGAGTCTGTAGCAGCAGACTATACAAACTGACTGGCGCTCATTTCTTTGTAGGTCACAACTCTGGTCCATTGCCTGACATCATTTTAACAGCGAGTGGTAAATGTGTTTAGACGAAAGTATGTTTACGACTGGCTATAGGTAGTATACAAATAATACACAGCAGTGAGTGCATTAGTGTGGATAATTTTACTAATGCCCGAACAAAATAATGTGTATTATTTGTTTTAAAAGATTATATTTTTTATTTGTTTTTAGAAAATGTTTTATAACATGATTTTACTAATGACCGGTCATTAGAATTGGATAATGACCGGTCATTATCCAAATTACGCGTTAGGCAAAATAAATGCCTCGTCACTTGTACGCTTTCAACCAATCATTTGATTAGAATCCACGTCATCACCTTATAAACACTATTATTATTGTTTCAGACATCGGAGAATATAATGTTACGAATGGCATGTCTCTTGAATGATTATGGTGTTCAGATGAAAGTGGCCTGTAGGAAAAATTGACTAGCCTATGGTGAACAGAACTCCTGTCAATTGCTGTCCGCGTAGTCGAGGGTTTTCATGGACCTACCAGAGCTCAGAGCAGCTACACTTCAGAAGAACTAATGCAAAACGGATAGTCATTGATATCACCAGGTGCGGTGGAACCGGCTTTTAAACGGTGGGGGTGGTGCTCGATCAGTGGCATAATCAGGCCGCGACGTCAGAAGGGGCACGACGTCTCGACTTTTAATGTTATCCATCTGATATCATATGAAACCCCTTTTTGGAGACACTGGTTTTGAAACGAATTCGTATTCACTGGCTGCCTGCTGTAGCAACAAACGGAATTGACAAAAGACTTTGTTGACGATCAGCCATATCAAATCAATAACTTCATGCATGGCTGATTTTCAACGAAGCGGAGTCTTTTGTCAAATTCTGCTTGTTGCTACGGCAGGCCGCCAGTGAAAACGAACTTTTAAAATCAAATTATAGAAATGCAAGTCTTTATACAAACAGAACTTTATTATCCCTTGCTAATTTTTCCTGATTGAGGTGTCATGAAAGGGCAGAAAGTAAACCTTCTAGAAATGTGATTTTCTCTTTGAAATTCAGATACCGTCTGCCAAATGATATTTGGATCCCTCTCTTCAAATTGATTTTGATTACTCATGCGTGAAATATGCATCATAATTATGAGTTGCATCGAATGAAAGAGGAGGATCTAAGCTTGACAAATATGTGTCATTTATTAATTATAATTGTGATTAAGTTAAGATAAAACGTTTTTTGGTGAAGCACTGTATACCTCTCTCTTCCCCCCTCTCTGTCTCTCTCTTCTGTCTTTCTCTTCTGTCTCTCTCTCTCTCTCTCTGTCTCTCTCCGATTCTTCTCCAATTATTCAGTTAACTTCAGTTCAGTCTTTATTTCATTCTCAATAAAAACAACGTACATAAATTATATACACAACAGAGTA